TTACCACATGATAAGTTCATGGATGTATACTAATTGTATCCTTTAATAGGCAAGTCTAGAAGGGTGCCAGACTTTTATGGGGACAACTTGTTTTTATTATTGATATACTGTACTTAAGAAATACAGTAAGCTCTACCCCATGTATAGTGTAATCTACCCCATGTAGTAGTGTATGTTTTATTACACTATTAGAAAAAGTAATAATCATAGTATTATAGACTGTGCAAGTCGCTGTGGAGCATTGTTGGTTAATGCTACACATTCAGATATATGGAGGTACTGTACACTCTCGGCAACATTCCAGATATATGGAGGTACTGTACACTCTCAGCAACATTCCAGATATATGGAGGTACCTACACTCTCAGCAACATTCCAGATATATGGAGGTACTACCGTCGCTGAAAACTGGCGAAGCCTAATTGAGCTGTTTACTCAGCAACATTCCAGATATATGGGGTACACTCTCAGCAACATTCCAGATATATGGAGGTACTGTACACTCTCAGCAACATTCCAGATATATGGAGGTACTGTACACTCTCAGCAACATTCCAGATATATGGAGGTACTGTACACTCTCGGCAACATTCCAGATATATGGAGGTACTGTACACTCTCAGCAACATTCCAGATATATGGAGGTACTGTACACTCTCAGCAACATTCCAGATATATGGAGGTACTGTACACTCTCAGCAACATTCCAGATATATGGAGGTACTGTACACTCTCAGCAACATTCCAGATATATGGAGGTACTGTACACTCTCAGCAACATTCCAGATATATGGAGGTACTGTACACTCTCAGCAACATTCCAGATATATGGAGGTACTGTACACTCTCGGCAACATTTCAGATATATGGAGGTACTGTACACTCTCGGCAACATTCCAGATATATGGAGGTACTGTACACTCTCAGCAACATTCCAGATATATGGAGGTACTGTACACTCTCAGCAACATTCCAGATATATGGAGGTACTGTACACTCTCAGCAACATTCCAGATATATGGAGGTACTGTACACTCTCAGCAACATTCCAGATATATGGAGGTACTGTACACTCTCAGCAACATTCCAGATATATGGAGGTACTGTACACTCTCGGCAACATTCCAGATATATGGAGGTACTGTACACTCTCGGCAACATTCCAGATATATGGAGGTACTGTACACTCTGGAGGCAACATTCCAGATATATGGAGGTACTGTACACTCTCAGCAACATTCCAGATATATGGAGGTACTGTACACTCTCAGCAACATTCCAGATATATGGAGGTACTGTACACTCTCAGCAACATTCCAGATATATGGAGGTACTGTACACTCTCGGCAACATTCCAGATATATGGAGGTACTGTACACTCTCGGCAACATTCCAGATATATGGAGGTACTGTACACTCTCAGCAACATTCCAGATATATGGAGGTACTGTACACTCTCGGCAACATTTCAGATATATGGAGGTACTCGTACTACTCTCGGCAACATTCCAGATATATGGAGGTACTGTACACTCTCGGCAACATTCCAGATATATGGAGGTACTGTACACTCTCAGCAACATTCCAGATGTATGGAGGTACTGTACATACACTGTCAGGTCTAGCTGCCTCACAGTCAAGTCATCATCTGTACAGACAACACTATCAGGTCTAGCTGCAGCTCATTAGCAGCGATTCAGCTTTTAAGTATAATGGGGATATACTTTGTACTGATTGAGGAACTGCAGAGCCCATGGAATCAAATGGGCTGTGTTAGTACGAGGCTTTGATTTGTAGGCAATAAGCAGTAGGTTTGAGAATAATATAACATCTGGCATATCCATGCTCCAGTGGCTTGTAACAATGGCCTGTTTTCACTGTTGGAATAACTAGACGATATTTCATGTGTCTTGTGGGAAAATACTGGCTCTGTTGGTCCCTGCCTGGCGCTTCGTATTAATGGGTACAACAAGGACTGGTCGGCTCGGAGTCAGTATAATGTGTCTGAGTGGGGTATTCATGCTTCACTGCAGCATGGTATCTCAGTGGGCTAGCGCTATAAAACCAGCTTAAGTCTGGGCTAGTACAAGCATCCGCACATACACATACACGCATGCACGTCGTCATATGAGCGAAATATCCTCAAGCACGACGTTAAACCCAATTTCACCTCACCTAATGTGGTCTTAATTTCAGAATTTTAACCAGGTAGTGTTTATCAGATAGTAGGTACACATGCTTGTACTTAACCCGTTGCTGTCCAACTTCTTAATGCCTCTACAGGAACACAAGTAGGTTATCTCTACTTCCCTTGTAGTCCCTGTTGTTGGGCTGCTGCTGTAGAAACTGGCTGATTTATCAACACATGAGTTGTAACTTGTGTAGAATCACAGGCACCTCATATCACAAAGTGATTGTGGATGAATAGAGACTGCATTTACAGCTTTTCTGATAACGAATGGACATTGAACTGAATTTACAGTGGCAAGATATTACATAAGTTATGTTGATATTTGTGGTTTCTGATCTCTCTCCTCTGTAAAGAAACAGATAATTGAATTTGCAATGATCCACAAGTGCATCATCGTTATGATCAGGTTGGATAAACCTGACAAGTGAGTTCATGTTTTATTAAAATAAAGGTTTTTACCTTGTCAGTGTGAAAGCATTGTACATTCTTCTGAATATAGTTTCCGTCCTGGAACTTTCCAATATATCAATAGTTTCAGTGAATGAAATATTAAAATGCATCATCTCTTATTCAGTTCCATTATTTCTTCCAAAGATTAACTGTTGCCTTTAGTACAGCAGCAATACCCGCTATGGTCGTTCAGCAGTCGATTTGTTCGCATCACAAACCTTAATTACCTCGTCTGTGTGGTTTCACCGAGTGATTGTTCAGGACGAGATTCCTATACAGTCGGGCGACATGGCTGTATATATTCATTTCCATTGTTGGAAAACTACATTCTGAAAAGACATTCTGAGTCCCCCTCCAATTTCATCTTGTTATTCCCCGCAACGCATTTTGCGGTGGGTATTAAAATGGACTCCGTCCATGCGTGCGTCCGTCCCGTGCACATTTGTCTTTTCTGGAGCAGAACTCTAAAACCGTTCAATATTTCTTCACCAAACTTGGCACATAGATAGATCTGGTGGTGTACTGGTGCCTTTTGGTAGTTTTGGAATTCTGAATAAAATATTTTTTGGCGTTTCCGTGGCAACAAGTTTGACTTAGCCTGAAATTGGTGGTAGTGCTCTTTTCTGGAGCAGAACTCTAAAACCGTTCACTATTTCTTTACCAAACGTGGCACATAGATAGATCTGGTGGTGTACTGGTTCCTTTTTGGTAGTTTTGGAATTCTGAATAAAATATTTTTGGCATTCCCATGGCAACGAGTTTGACATAGACTGCAATTGGTGATAATGCTCCTTTCTGGAGCAGAACTTTAAAAACCTTTCAATACTCTCCTTCCACTTTTCTATATACACACCTAAATATTTGACATAATCATAACTCGTAGACATAATCATGAAGAGTATTTTGCCATTGAGGGGGATATTGATGACTTTGTCTTCTTGTTGATTCTTACAACACCCAAAGTGAAGCCTGGAGAAACAACAGTCCCAAGGTTTCCAGCTGTGACAGCCATTTGTCCTTCAACTTAGTTATATTTCGGTTATTGATTCATCATGAGTACAGTTCATTATTACTCTACTTCCCAGACGTTTTAAGAACTGTTTGTTTCCACTATCCATTGTGGGTAGCCTAGAACTATAGACAAGTCCATTCCTGATGGAATACGTGTACATATTAACCATTGTGGGTAGCCTAAAACTATAGACAAGTCCATTCCTGATGGAATACGTGTACATATTAACCATTGTGGGTAGCCTAAAACTATAGACAAGTCCATTCCTGATGGAATACGTGTACATATTAACCATTGTGGGTAGCCTAGAACTATAGACAAGTCCATTCCTGATGGAATACGTGTACATATTAACCATTGTGGGTAGCCTAGAACTATAGACAAGTCCATTCCTGATGGAATACGTGTACATATTAACCATTGTGGGTAGCCTAAAACTATAGACAAGTCCATTCCTGATGGAATAACGTGTACATATTAACCATTGTGGGTAGCCTAAAACTATAGACAAGTCCATTCCTGATGGAATAACGTGTACATATTAACCATTGTGGGTAGCCTAAAACTATAGACAAGTCCATTCCTGATGGAATACGTGTACATATTAACCATTGTGGGTAGCCTAAAACTATAGACAAGTCCATTCCTGATGGAATACGTGTACATATTAACCATTGTGGGTAGCCTAAAACTATAGACAAGTCCATTCCTGATAGAATACGTGTACATATTAACCATTGTGGGTAGCCTAAAACTATAGACAAGTCCATTCCTGATGGAATACGTGTACATATTAACCATTGTGGGTAGCCTAAAACTATAGACAAGTCCATTCCTGATGGAATACGTGTACATATTAACCATTGTGGGTAGCCTAGAACTATAGACAAGTCCATTCCTGATAGAATACGTGTACATATTAACCATTGTGGGTAGCCTAAAACTATAGACAAGTCCATTCCTGATGGAATACGTGTGGGTACATATTAACCATTGTGGTAGCCTAGAACTATGGGTAGACAAGTCCATTCCTGATGGAATACGTACCGGGTACATATTAACCATTGTGGGTAGCCTAAAACTATAGACAAGTCCATTCCTGATGGAATACGTGTACATATTAACCATTGTGGGTAGCCTAAAACTATAGACAAGTCCATTCCTGATGGAATACGTGTACATATTAACCATTGTGGGTAGCCTAAAACTATAGACAAGTCCATTCCTGATGGAATTAACCATTGTGGGCGCCTAAAACTATAGACAAGTCCATTCCTGATGGAATACGTGTACATATTAACAACCATGGGTATGTTCTTGTTATGTAAACCTTGACTATCCTCCCAGACATCTATAATGCTTTAACCATCCACGGCTTAGCGGAGAAATCGGTGCTGCCTGACTCGGTGCTAAAGGTGAATCAGTTCTGGAAGACCACAGCTTACAAGATTGCAGGGCTGGTCTTTAACCTGGACGATATTGAACATGGGGTGCTGAGAGGTAGGTCTTTACCCTGGACGACATTGAACATGGGGTGCTGAGAGTTAGCGCTTTTAAAATGGAATTTGCCAAGTCATGTTATTGCAATTGCATGTATTACATGTATAAGTTGCTTTAATAAAACTGATCACGTGGCCAATAAGCAAAGAAGGTTTTTGTGTAGTTTTTCATTAATATATCAAGTGAAATATTCTAAAATTCTCACTTTTAAGATAATCTTCGTTTTTCCTGCTTTATCTGGCAAGGTGACTGAGTTGGAATCCTTCGTAAATCCCTGGGGACACTGCAGGGATCTTCATGACTGAATCATTCCGCTGTAACACAGTTGCATGCCATCAGTTCAATGTAGACTGTTGCTCGGTGCTGTTATCAACCACTCCAGGGTCGGCCCTAGCTCGACAAGTGTAAACATTTTATTTATCAGTTGTACAACAAAACAGTGTGATTTTAGTGATACAGTGGTTGATTTGTTGCCAGGCAACAAGGCGCATCCTGCCTCCACAGAACTACAGTTTGGTCCAAAGGACCCCCGCTTGAAGTACAAAATGCTGACAACTGACCCACGGATACACTTTGCTTTAGTCTGCGGGGCTAAGGTAGGTAACTCTAGACAAACTTTATTTTAGGCTCTCAAAATATCAGAGAGGTGAACTTAATTCTTGCAAATCGTGATAAGTTGACCAGCCAGAGTTGTTGGTGTCAAAATGTCAAAAAGAGGCTGAGTATCTGAATCTTGTCTTGCAGTCTTGCCCAGCTATCCAGGTGTATGGAGAGGACAACCTGGAACAGGCGCTGGAGGGAGCCAGCAAGAATTTCTGTAAACAAGAAGTATCAATGTTCACGGAGACTGACGAGATCTGGTTGTCCAAGCTGTTCCAGTGGTATCGAGAAGACTTTGGCAAGATCGACACAGATGTCATAAGGTAGGGAGGCAGGGCTTGTGTTCTGTAGTAGTTGGGGGGCCTCCTGGTCTGTAGTAGTTGGGGGGGCTGGTCTGTAGTAGTGGGGGGCCTCCTGGTCTGTAGTAGTTAGGGGGCCTCCTGGTCTGTAGTAGGTTTTTGACCTTCTGGTCTGTAGTAGGTTTTTGACCTTCTGGTCTGTAGTAGGTGGTGGATCTTCTGGTCTGGTCTGTAGTAGGTGGTGGACCTTCTGGTCTGGTCTGTAGTAGGTGGTGGACCTTCTGGTCTGTAGTAGGTGGTGGACCTTCTGGTCTGTAGTAGTTGGTGGACATTAGTTGTGTGATCCTGTGTGTATTCTCCTCATTGATGTGTGATCCTGTGTGTATTGTTATGTAGATGTGTGATCCTGTGTGTATTCTCATTGATGTGTGATCCTGTGTGTATTCTCCTCATTGATGTGTGATCCTGTGTGTATTGTTATGTAGATGTGTGATCCTGTGTGTATTCTCCTCCTTGATATGTGATCTTGTGTGTATTCTCCTCATTGATTTGTGATCCTGTGTGTATTCTCCTCATTGATGTGTGATCCTGTGTGTATTCTCCTCATTGATGTGTGATCCAGTGTGTATTCTCCTCATTGATGTGTGATCATGTGCATATTCTCCTCCTTGATGTGTGATCCTGTGTTTATTCTCCTCATTGATGTGTGATCCTGTGTGTATTCTCCTCCTTGATGTGTGATCCTGTGTGTATTCTCCTCATTGATGTGTGATCCTGTGTGTATTCTCCTCATTGATGTGTGATCCTGTGTATCTCCTCCTTGATGTGTGATCCTGTGTTTATTCTCCTCATTGATGTGTGATCCTGTGTGTATTCTCCTCCTTGATGTGTGATCCTGTGTGTATTCTCCTCATTGATGTGTGATCCTGTGTGTATTCTCCTCATTGATGTGTGATCCTGTGTGTATTCTCCTCATTGATGTGTGATCCTGTGTGTATTCTCATTGATGTGTGATCCTGTGTTTATTCTCCCCATTGATGTGTGATCCTGTGTGTATTCTCCTCATTGATGTGTGATCCTGTGTGTATTCTCATTGATGTGTGATCCTGTGTGTATTCTCATTGATGTGTGATCCTGTGTGTATTCTCCTCATTGATGTGTGATCCTGTGTGTATTCTCCTCATTGATGTGTGATCCTGTGTGTATTCTCCTCATTGATGTGTGATCCTGTGTGTATTCTCATTGATGTGTGATCCTGTGTGTATTCTCCTCATTGATGTGTGATCCTGTGTTTATTCTCATTGATGTGTGATCCTGTGTGTATTCTCATTGATGTGTGATCCTGTGTGTATTCTCCTCATTGATGTGTGATCATGTGTGTATTCTCCTCATTGATGTGTGATCCTGTGTTTATTCTCCTCATTGATGTGTGATCCTGTGTGTATTCTCCTCATTGATGTGTGATCCTGTGTGTATTCTCCTCATTGATGTGTGATCCTGTGTGTATTCTCCTCATTGATGTGTGATCCTGTGTGTATTCTCCTCATTGATGTGTGATCCTGTGTGTATTCTCCTCCTTGATATGTGATCTTGTGTGTATTCTCCTCATTGATGTGTGATCCTGTGTGTATCCTCATTGATGTGATCCTGTGTGTATTCTCCTCATTGATGTGTGATCTTGTGTTTAATCTCCTCATTGATGTGTGATCTTGTGTGTATTCTCCTCATTGATGTGTGATCCTGTGTGTATTCTCCTCATTGATGTGTGATCCTGTGTGTAATCTCCTCATTGATGTGTGATCCTGTGTATTCTCCTCATTGATGTGTGATCCTGTGTGTATTCTCCTCATTGATGTGTGATCCTGTGTGTATTCTCCTCATTGATGTGTGATCCTGTGTGTATTTTCCTCATTGATCGGTGATCTGTTGTGTGTTTTCCTTGTAGATGTGTGATCCTGTGTGTATTTTCCTCATTGATCGGTGATCTGTTGTGTGTTTTCCTTGTAGATGGGTGATCCTAAGTGTAGTCTCAGTGTAGATAGATGATCTTCTGTATATTGCCAGTGTACATGGGTGATCCATGTGTGTTTTCATAGATTTGTGTTCTGTGTGCTTTCTCCTCTTGGTTGAGTGATCCTATGTGTATTTCCCTTGTAGATGGTTTATCATGTGTGTTCTGTTTGCAGATGGGTAATCCCCTACCTGGAGCCCAGCATTCAAGACAGGGCCAACATCCTGCTTCTGAAGCTGGAGACACAAGGAACAGTTGCCATCAAGTTCAATGATTATGATTGGTCACTCAACAGTTCATGATAGTACAACATCTCTGATTGGTTCCCATCTCTGCATTTTGTCCCAACCAATTATGTTTTAATGTCAGCAATATCTGTGATGTCTGCCTACAGCTGCCTTTGTATAACTTCCTGTAACCTTGTTCCCATGGTCTTTCCATCAATATCTTGATCTTAAGTGTGGGGTGACCTGTCCAGGTGTGGAACTTTTAGCAGTGGTCAAACTATTCTTTAATAGGCTTCTTCCAAATGTCACTGGGTTGATTTGGCAGGTCTTGACAAGTTCAAGGCCATGATGTGGAAGTATATTTCATATAACTTTTATCTTTAAGCCGAATGTAAGTATACCCTTTTAGGACAGGATCCAGTTTGAAAGTTTTATGGTTTATCTCTTTATTGTTATCTCTTTGTCAGCTGACAGACATGACCAAGCATCAACGTTCATATTGTTTTAAATCTCGGCAAATCCTACAACATGAACTACTAGGGCTTGTCTGTTGAAGGTCAGGGTCATCATGGAGGTTATTATGAAACATGCCTGCATTGCCAGTTACTGACTACTGTTGAACCATTAGTACTGTGGTTAATGAAGGCGATTTGTGAATCCTACTGCCGTGACTAAGTCCCTCTTTCTGACAAATATTGCTTATCTCACACAACACAACACTCTTCAGTATTGAACACTGCCATGCTGGCTTCCACGATTATCTGTAGTTAGTGTCGCCATGGTAACTGTTTTCAAGTAAATGTGAGATGGCATGGTTCATTGTTCTAGTCCTATGACAGAATTAACATTCAATTTTGTTCAAGTAGCAAGTATAATTATTCATTATAATTCCATGTCTCTATCTCGTCTGAAAAAAAGTTTGTTCCAATATTAAAGAGACAGATGATGATGGAGATACCTTATTTATCTTTTCATCTGTGAGGTGTTGGCACCGAGTGTTACATGTGTCTCCTCTTGCATGTTTGCAATATATACTACTTCCTCATTGTAGTCATAGCTTTCATATACTGTCAGTGTGACAACTGTTAATCATACACACACTTTTGTATCTTCACTAAAATAGAACAAAAATACTATAGCAATTGTTGAAAAATGTGTGTATTGATATAATGGAGTCATTTGAAAATCCATCTTAGACTGTATGGAGTGTTCCAGCGCCCCCTGGAGGCAACATAACACATACGTTACATCAATGGCCACACCTACTGTCCTCCCTCAGAGGTTGCTACTACGGCATGATGGGTGTGTTTGTCTCTGGCCACACCTACTTTCCTCCCTCAGAGGTTGCTACTACGGCATGATGGATGTGTTTGTCTCTGGCCACACCTACTTTCCTCCCTCAGAGGTTGCTACTACGGCATGATGGGTGTGTTTGTCTCTGGCCACACCTACTTTCCTCCCTCATAGGTTGCTACGGCATGATGGGTGTGTTTGTCTCTGGCCACCTACTTTCCTCCCTCAGAGGTTGCTACTCACGGCATGATGGGTGTGTTTGTCTCTGGTCCACACCTACTTTTCCTCCCTCAGAGGTTGCTACTACGGCATGATGGGTGTGTTTGTCTCTGGCCACACCTACTTTCCTCCCTCAGAGGTTGCTAGGTTGCTACTACAGCATGATGGGTGTGTTTGTCTCTGGCCACACCTCACGGCATGATGGGTGTGTTGTCTCTTCCTACTTTCCTCCTCAGAGGTTGCTACTACAGCATGATGGGTGTGTTTGTCTCTGGCCACACCTACTTTCCACACCTACTTCTGGCCACACCTACTTTCCTCCCTCCCTACTACAGCATGATGGGTGTGTTTGTCTCTGGCCACACCTTCCTCCTCCCTCTAGGTTGCTACTACGGCATGATGGGTGTGTTTGTCTCTGGCCACACCTACTTTCCTCCCTCAGAGGTTGCTACTACAGCATGATGGGGTGTGTTTGTCTCTGGCCACACCTACTTTCCTCCCTCAGAGGTTGCTACTACTTTCCGGCATGATGGCATGATGTGTTTGTCTCTGGCCACACCTACTTTCCTCCCTCAGAGGTTGCTACTACAGCAAGATGGGTGTGTTTGTCTCTGGCCACACCTACTTTCCTCCCTCAGAGGTTGCTACTACGGCATGATGGTGTGTTTGTCTCTGGCCACACCTACTTTCCTCCCTCAGAGGTTGCTACTCCGGCATGATGGGTGTGTTTGTCTCTGGCCACACCTACTTTCCTCCCTCAGAGGTTGCTACTACGGCATGATGGGTGTGTTTGTCTCTGGCCACACCTACTTTCCTCCCTCAGAGGTTGCTACTACGGCATGATGGGTGTGTTTGTCTCTGGCCACACCTACTTTCCTCCCTCAGAGGTTGCTACTACAGCATTATGGGTGTGTTTCATGATGGGTGTGTTTGTCTCTGGCCACGTCGTCGTCGCCGTGTACTTGCACATTTGTCTTTTCCGAGCAGAACTCTAAAACTGTTCAATATTTCTTCACCAAACTTGGCACATAGATAGATCTGGTGGTGTACTGGTGCCTTTTGGTAGTTTTGGAATTCTGAATAAAACATTTTGGCGTTTCCATGGCAAAAGTTCGACTTAGCCTGAAATTGGTGGTAGTGCACTTTTCCGAGCAGAACTCTAAAACCGTTAACTATTTCTTCACCAAACTTGGCACATAGATAGATCTGGTGGTGTACTGGTGCCTTTTGGTAGTTTTGGATTTCTGAATAAAATATTTTTGGCGTTTCCATGGCAACAAGTTCGACTTAGCCTGAAATTGGTGGTTGTGCTCCTTTCCGAGCAGAACTCTAAAACCGTTCACTATTTCTTCACCAAACTTGGCACATAGATAGATCAGGTGGTGTACTGGTGCCTTTTGGTAGTTTTGGAATTCTGAATAAAATATTTTTGGCATTTCCATGGCACCATGGCAACAAATTTGACTTAGCCTGAAATTGGTGGTTGTGCTCTTTTCCGAGGTGAACTCTAAAACCGTTCACTATTTCTTCACTAAACTTGGCACATAGATTGGTCTGGTGGTGTACTGGTGCCTTTTGGTAGTTTTGGAATTGTGAATAAAATATTTTGGCGTTTCCATGGCAACAAGTTGACTTAGCCTGAAATTGGTGGTAGTGCTCTTTTCCTCGAGCAGAACTCTAAAACCGTTCACTATTTCTTCACCAAACTGGACACATAGATAGATCTGGTGGTGTACTGGTGCCTTTTGGTAGTTTTGAAATGTTGAATAAAATGTTTTGGGCTTTTCCATGGCAACAAGTTGACTTAGCCTGAAATTGGTGGTAGTGCACTTTTCCGGAGCTAAATTCTAAAACCGTTCACTATTTTCTTCACCAAACTTGTCACATAGATTAGTCTAGTGGTGTACTGGTTCCTTTTTGGTAGTTTTGGAATTGGTGATAGTGCTCCTTTCTGGAGCAGAACTTTAAAAACCTTTCAATACTCTCCTTCACACCTAAATATTTGACATAATCATACCTCGTAGACATAACCATGAAGAGTATTTTGCCATTGAGGGGGATATTGATGACTTTGTCTTCTTGTTGATATAGTGTCGAGGGTACTTTCTGATATACATTGAAGACAAATTAACACTTTCCAAATCTTGAGGTATTTTCATTTCTGTACATTAGAGGTGAACCACTTGTTTCTAGCCCTGGATCATGTTACCATTCTCTTCATTAAAGACAGGGTGCAAATGTATGATTCATGTTGAGTTTATCTTCAGCCCCTGAAATGTGCTCCTGGTGTTGCAAAGACACGGTAGTTGTGGGAGAGACGATCATTGAATTATTGTGCGTTCTTAAGACGTACTATATTGAACGTTCACCAAATTACAGACACATTCTCCACTCATGTTGCATTACACTTGAAGGAATTCACCTTGCAGAGGGAGCTCCCTTCATTTCTCAACACCCTGATGTAGCAGATACACTTTGCAAAACTCAACTGGCTAACAATAACAATTTGGTTTCCAGTACCTACTGACTATAAAGGGGTGGTCGGGGTAGCCTGCTAGTTGTCATGCTGAACACCCGCGTTCCATTCCCCACATGGGTACAATGTGTGAAGACCATGTCTGGTGTTCCCCACCATGATATTGCTAAAAGCAGTATAAAACCATACTCACTCACTTTAATTTTGCCAAAGGTGAACAAATTTTGCCAAATACCTATTGCTACAGAATGTGTGAGTGATACACGGTCTTATAGCCAAATGAATCTCTGTACGTGTTATCTCCGCGTCTCCTTGAGTCCTCAAGCACCGTGTTGGGATCGGGTGGTCAGTTTCGCTGACTTGGTTGACACATGCCATCGTTCCCAATTGCGCAGATCGATGCTCATGCTGTTGATCACTGGATTGTCTGGTCCAGACTCAATTATTAACAGACCGCCGCCATATAGCTGGGATATTGCTGAGTGCGGCGTAAAACTAAACTCACTCACTCACTCACTCAAGCACCGTGTTGCCCTGAAGATAGTCCGGCTTGTGCAAGGGACAGTAACACTTCATCAGTGTTCAGTGCTAATATGGTTATGAACTGAAAAATTTAAGCACACGAAGCTAAGAAAGTAAATTATTGTCAATTCTGTTTTAAGGGAAGAGGTCTTTCATGATTGTACTAGAAGTTGATTTGAGATGTACTATTTTTATTGTGATTGGGCCAGGGATATTGCCTATATATGTTACAGCTTCATATTGTTATGTTTTTGTTTATATATTGGTCTGTATCATGTATTTTATGTAATCTTCTATGGACAAGCACTGTTCACACTTTTATACGCATTGTTCCAGTTGCTATAAAGACTTTAGTTGGGGTGGCCGAGGCCACAGTTACCTTACTGCCATTGCTGTCAGAGGCTACATGCTAAACTTTGTACAAACCCACATCTGTAGGTGATGGGATGATGTGGAGGAACTGGCCCACTTCCTATCTCTGGACACTATGGTTGACTATGCATTTACTGGCACTGTGGCACAAGTCTTCCTGCTTCATGGTGTATAGCAACACTTCGTGTAAACACTTGATGCCTGTGTAATCATGTGATTCATATATAATCAAGCACAGACTTGCTGAGACTGTAATCACCTCAAAACATAATAAATATCTGCCTACAATTGTCTTCACACCAAACTTGCTCATTGTGTTGAATCCGTTTCAGATTGCTGGAGGCAGGTTCCATCCCACTCATCCTGAGTCTGTCTGCCTCAAATCAAAACAAACTACTATTTTGAAAAGTTGACATGCTGCTTAAACACCAATGATATCGTACCCAGTTTCAATGTTGCCAGTCTCTGATACCGACAGCATCTCATGTGAAAACTCAGATCTCTTCCATGGTAATGTACCCATGAAGATCTACCGTACCTTAAATGTGACCTTCAGAAACCCATGCTTGTCGTAAAAGGCGACTAACAAGATCGTGTGGTCAGGCTCGCTGACTTGGTTAACACATGCCATCGTATCCAATTGCACAGATCTATGCTCATGTTGTTGGTCACTGGATGTCTGGTCCAGACTTGATTATTTTCAGACCACTGTAATATAGCTGGAATATTGCTGAGTGCAGCGTAAAACTAAACTCACTTAATCCATGGTAATGTTAACTTTGAAAGATTTTTTGGGCAATAGCCACTCCCAGACGCTTGAATGTTTTATGCCACAAGGGGCAATATTCCAGAGACCTGTAAATCAAGAAATTGGGACGGGTCTAACAACCCGATCCCTATTCTGTCCAGACACAAGGTGCTAGGAGCACGCTGAATGAAAAACAGATCTACAACAAGTGATATTTGACATAGCATAAGTTTATTGTTGTATATGTACATCTCCAGCATACAGCCTGGGACAGCCTCACTCCACCCACACAGGACAGGGGACAACACTGGCAATCAGTATGGAACACAGCAGATGATTGGCTCAAACCTCTCTATCACATGGTTCATGAGCCAATCACTGTAAGATTCTAGCACTCTTTTGATTGGCTGAGATCAAAACCAATGAAACCCTTTCTCTGATACCAAGCACAGGGTGAAACACTTACACAATAATTCTGTCCTTAGTAACCTTGTCCAAGGACAACATCTTAAGAAGTAAAATATACAGTGTCCAACATTTGGTAGGGATGATGTATTTACAGACTTCTAGAAGTCAGAACACCCACTCGTACCAAATGTTGCAGCACGGCCTGGCACCACCAGGCTGACGAGACACATTTGTGTACCCTATCTGAATTCCACCAAGACAAGCAGGTCGGTTCTAACAAAGTGTATGGCAGTCATGTAACAGTTTTGTCATCCTTCAGAAAATATGATTGTGAAGAGAATGAAATGAATCGTTTTGAAAAATGATATGATATTGTAGCACTTTTTTGATAATGACACATTATTCAAACAATGACTCGACTCACATCGTAGTAGCACCTCCCACCCTCTTACCCTTTAAATATGGTTCATGGCAACACCTTTTTAATGTAACAATTTACATAATTGTATATTCTAAACAATTTCAAACAACTTTTGTTTGAGAAGTGTATGAGCTTCAGAGTGCCTTACATCCTAGGAGCTGTTTTCCAACAACAACAAAATCCCACTTCAAGTTATTCAGGAAGAGACAAAATGTTAATTGCTTATCCTAGAAACTGACTCAGCAATATTACCATGCAAGACTAAACACCAGACAGCATTATGGAAACAGCGGGGTTACAACATAGCACATACTGTCTACACAGGCCACGGGGCAGCACTGGTCACCCACACAGAAACAGGAGTACTCAGGACAGACCTAAACAAATGTCTTACTTATACCTTCATTAAACTGAAGCCCTTCCACAGGAAATGCTTACAACAATAAGACCTGCAGTGGCTACACACATCCGTGATTCCAGTGTTGGCGCAAACATCCTGACCTCGGTGTTAACCTGCACCAACACAAGAGCCTTCAGTGTCTGCACAAACATCTCAACCTCCACAGGTTCCAACACCTAGCTCTGACAAAACCACCCATGAACTATCAGTGCCTAGTAACCCGATACCCTGTCCACACCACACAGCTTTACATAAGGTCACCTACCGTCAGAACAAATCAGATGTATTTCCAATAAGTGAAATAATATAATGTTCCTATAACAGGCACTAGTTGAGGCAATCATTACCTGCAATCATTGATTCTTAGATTACAATCCATACAATACGCCTGTAACAACAATAACTCAACAATGTATTCACTACAATGCTTACTTCACACGCAGGCTGCATGGAAGGGAAATCCCCTCCCAGACAACCAGTCAGCCTTCGTGTAGCAATCTTAAAGTTGGGGAACTTACTGACAATAAACGTCCAGTTTAACACTTGTCTGGAAGTTTGGATGTTTGTTTTGGCTAATGATCCAGTCATAGATATCTGGTTCATTAACAGCCCCAGTTTTCAGTTGATGGCATGATTTACAAACCAAATTTACCGTCAACTTGTATTGGCAGATACTTTCCAAATCATGTTTTTAATAAATCTGGTCCAGTAAGTTGATACACTTTTTGAGGTAATATGTTAGGTGGAATTTGCTCGGCCAGTTAGGAGGGTCATGGTGGGGATGTAATAGTTATTGATGGAGCCCTGATCGAGCCACCAAATCCCAGCCTATTCAGGCAAGGGTTGAAACTAGACAGTTGTTGTCAGTTAAGTCCTGTGTCTGGGAAGATGTAGTGTCTGTCGTCCTTGATGCACCAGTCTAAGGATATGCCCATGTTGGGGCTGTAATGAAACACTTGATCATACGATACATATCTCAATATCAAGCCTTTGATATGATGAAACAATATGGTACATGAAAACCAGATGTTTACATGTACAGGGAAAATTTCCAGCAAGGGAAATAAATAGTACCCCAACTAAAACATTCAACATGCAAAGTGGCTTGAGCCCTTTTGTACATACAAGTAGAAAAATGTATTGAAACAATTTTGTTACATACCATTTTTTGCTTGTATATATATGTATCACTTGGTATTGATACAGGAAGCAGAGCGTTGCATCATGGCACCCAGCATCAACACAGCAGCCACGGATGGTACCACAGTCCTCCATGCACCCATCTTGCAGGGATGGAATGCTCTTCCTACATTGCACAAGCAGGGGACGAAAGACGAAAGTGGAAAGTGCAACGCACACAGGACATTATGAGCTGCAGTGAATACTGAGTCGAAGGTCACCTCAGTAGTTTATCACAGGCGTCAGGTCTCACCATAAAGTCAGGTCTCAGCTCAATAGTCAGGTCTCACCACAATAGTCAGGTCTCACCATAAAGTCAGGTCTCACCACAATAGTCAGATCTCACCATAAAGTCAGGTCTCACCACAATAGTCAGATCTTACCATAAAGTTAGGTCTCACCACAATAGTCAGGTCTCACCACAATAGTCAGATCTCACCATAAAGTCAGATCTCACCACAATAGTCAGATCTCACCATAAAGTCAGGTCTCACCACAATAGTCAGATCTCACCATAAAGTCAGGTCTCACCACAATAGTCAGGTCTCACCATAAAGTTGGATCTCACAACAATAGTCAGATCTCACCATAAAGTCAGGTCTCACCACAATAGTCAGGTCTCACCATAAAGTTGGATCTCACCACAATAGTCAGGTCTCACCATAAAGTTGGATCTCACCACAATGGTCAGATCTCACCATAAAGTCAGGTCTGACTACAATAATCAGATCAGCTGTTGGATCTTGCCATGGGAGTTTGATCTCTCCAATGAAGACACATATCACCAAAGATGTCGGATCTTGCTATGGGAGTCTGATCTCACCAGAGAAGTTGCGTCTCACCATAGGAGACATCTGGTCACAGGAGTCAGGTCTTGCCACTGCAGTTTGATCCCGAAGTTTAGAGTCTACTCTCAGCATATGTCTTGCATCTTTTCAACACAGCTTACAAAACATCATTATTTTCTGATGTCAGAGAGGTTGACGTTTCTTGCAGCAGAAACAATGTTCCTTATTCCTAGATTACATTTAGAAAGTTTTTGTGAAATGTACTGAGCTTAAATCTTGCCAATGCATCTCAGTTACCTGTGTACACACATCACAGGGTGACCTGTACATCACAGACACCTGTATGCATCACAGACACCTGTAAACATGCATCACAGACACCTGTACGCATACATCACAGACACCTGTACACATGCATCACAGACACCTGTACACATGCATCACAGACACCTGTACACATGCATCACAGACACCTGTACACATGCATCACAGACACCTGTACACATGCATCACAGACACCTGTACACACAGAATGATCTGCACACATGCATTATCTTGTCAAGGTGAAACAATAACATCTTGAATTTGGCACAGGTGTTTCTCCATGATGATTTCCTAATGAACCTAAGTTAATCACCACAACGACAACAGCTGATCAGGCTAGGGAGGGTCCCCGTCTGTTTCGTACCCTGTTTCAACAAAGATGGAAAGCAAGACCAGTGAAGCAAGCCAAGACAAGCTGTAACAATACAAAGTGGGTCACTTACTGCAGGCCGCCAAACATGAACACAGGACACTTGTCCTACAGCCACGGGACTACACATACCCAAACAGAATACTCAGTAAACCCGAATTCTTTCCGCTAACAATGGTTTGAGCACTCTTTTACATAAAATCAGAAAACAGAAATTTCATTTGACCATGTAACATACCTTCTTACAGGTACATTGTCGTGTATGGATACACAGCCTTACAACACACAGCCTTACAATACAAGCACCTCACCTTGAAACATTGTCTTGATACAAGTATCATATCGTGGCACACAGTGTCTTGATACAAGTATCTCACTGTGGCACACAGTGTCATGATACAAGTATCATATCATGGCACACAGTGTCATGATACAAGTATCATACCATGGCATACAGTGCCACGATACAAGTATCATACCATTGCATACAGTGTCATGATACAAGTATCATACCATTGCATACAGTGTCATGATATAAGTATCATACCACGGCAAACAGTGTCAAGATACAAGCACCTCACCTTGAAACAGTGTCTTGATACAAGTATCTCAACATGGCACACCGTGTCAAGATACAAGTATCATATCGTGGCACACAGTGTCATGATACAAGTATCATACCATGGCACACAGTGTGAAGATACAAGTATCGCACCATGGCACAGAGTGTCAAGATACAAGTATCATACCATTGCATACAGTGTCAAGATACAAGTATCTCACCATTGCATACAGTGTCAAGATACAAGTATGATACCATGGCATACAGTGTCAAGATACAAGTATCATACCATTGCATACAGTGTCAAGATACAAGTATCATACCATGGCATACAGTGTCATGATACAAGTATCTCACCATTGCATACAGTGTCAAGATACAAGTATCATACCATGGCATACAGTGTCAAGATACAAGTATCTTACCATTGCATACAGTGTCAAGATACAAGTATCGCACTGCTGCACACAGTGTCAAGATACAAGTATCATACCATGGCATACAGTGTCAAGATACAAGTATCATACCATGGCACACAGTGTCAAGATACAAGTATCATACCATGGCATACAGTGTCAAGATACAAGTATCATACCATGGCACACAGTGTCAAAGATACAAGTATCATACCATGGCATACAGTGTCAAGATACAAGTATCATACCATGGCACACAGTGACAAGATATAAGTATCATACCATGGCACCGTAACCCAGTCTTACAGTGCATGGTTAGTCTATACAGCTTGAGAGACATTGTGTAATACTTGAGAAGATAATATGCTGTCAACTGCAGGGGACGGTACAAGTGAGCCATCAACGCCTGTCCCTCCCTCCCACGCACCACATCCCCCCACCATCCATACTGAGCGACCTCTCTCAGACCCTGTGTCCTCATTAAACAAATGATATTTTGGTTAGCAAGTTGTACATGTCATTATGGGAACAACCCCTGCCTGCCGCCGCCGAGTAGACACAGCCAAACAAGTCAACACTGGTCCAAGGGAGACAATTTGCACTTTCCAAGGGGAAATAATCACAGATTTCTTCACATTTCCTGGAGAGTCTTGCCAACATGAAACATAAGCTTTGGGTATAGGACCAACAAGTGGTAGGACCAACAAGTGGTGTTGGTCAGCAGTCAATATTGAAATGCCCCGTATACACAGTCACCATCACAGCCTCTCTGCCTGCTCTGCCCGCTCCGCCCGCTGCTCCTCGGTCAGCTTGTTATGGGCAGTACGGACCCTGGAGCTTCAGGTACTGTAGACAAACATAAACCTGATTAACACATGGCATCTCAACACACCACAGTAATTCAGTGAGGCAAATGTATTATCATTAACATTATTAACAATAATCACTGACGATGTAGATGTGAATGTGGATGTGGTCTGGAATGTAGTTGTTGACGTTGAGGTGAAAATTAATGCGGCTGAGGACGTCCATTTGGATGTGAAAGTGGACATAGATGTGAAAGTGGGTGGTGCAGGGAAAGCGGTTAATGATGTGGACGTGGATATGGTTGAGGAGGTCCATGTGGGTGTGGATGATGATGTCAATGTGGATGTGGATGTGGATGTTGGTGTGGACGTAGATGTGAAAGTGGATGGTGAAGGGAAAGCGGTTGATGATGTGGATGTGGTTGAGGGCGTCCATGTGGGTTTGGATGTGGTAGTGGATGTGATCAGATGTGGGTGTGGATGTGATCAGATGTGGGTGTGGATGTGATCAAGTGTGGGTGTGGATGTGATCAAGTGTGGGTGTGGATGTGATCAGATGTGATCGCAGACTGACCTGTATTACAAGAGAGGGGCCTCTGGCAACTATCTCCGCTGGGATCTGACTGAGGGGGCAGTTCTCGATGCTCATGATCTGCAAGTTGGCACAGTATGCCAGGTCATACGGCAGACTGTGCAACTCAGGGTTGTCATTTATGTACAGGGATTCTAAACTCTCTAATGTACCTGCAAAGTAACAGATTCAGTTTAACACACAGTGTCTAGAAGAAGAGTTGAGCATTCATCAGAGTAAGTAATGATCAGTCTACCACACAGTGTCCTATACAACTGTGAGAAATTCAAAGTAACTAGCTCACAAAACACTTCATCCAGACAACACAAGGTTTGAACCACTCACCTATCTCACACTTCATCCAGACAACACAAGGCTTGAACCACTCACCTATCTCACACTTCATCCAGACAACACAAGGCTTGAACCACTCACCTATCTCACACTTCATCCAGACAACACAAGGCTTGAACTACTCACCTATCTCACACTTCATCCAGACATCCAGACACAAGGCTTGAACCACTCACCTAGGTTTCTCACACTTCATCCAGACAACACAAGGCTTGAACCACTCACCTATCTCACACTTCATCCAGACAACACAAGGCTTGAACCACTCACCTATCTCACACTTCATCCAGACAACACAAGGCTTGAACCACTCACCTATCTCACACTTCATCCAGACAACACAAGGCTTGAACCACTCACCTATCTCACACTTCATCCAGACAACACAAGGCTTGAACTACTCACCTATCTCACACTTCATCCAGACAACACAAGGCTTGAACTACTCACCTATCTCACACTTCATCCAGACAACACAAGGCTTGAACCACTCACCTATCTCACACTTCATCCAGACAACACAAGGCTTGAACCACTCACCTATCTCATTTGGTAAGGATGTAAGGTTGTTTTCTCCAGAACCAAGATACTGCAAGTTCTTCAAGAACCTGCCAACATAAGACCACATGCAGGTGAACAGTGTAAAGATGCTCTGGTAGTTACTTTATGACAAGACAATATTTCCCTATGTAGTTGCCAAACATCTCATTACTTGTTGGAGATAGCAACACGCCATGAAGGAACATCTGCAGGTCTAACCTGTCTCAACATGTTCCCACAAGGAAAGGTCTGATGTCACAATGGCACCAAAAGCAAACTCAAAATGGCCTCACATCAGAATTGTCCCAAAGGGTAAACACAAAACAACCTCACAATGGTCAGAATGGTCCTAATGGCTTAGTAAAAAGGTCTACAGAAAAAGTCAAAATGGCCCCCTACAATCAAGGACAATAAATTCTGTTACTATGTGAATGGTTACACCTGTATAGTGGCGTGGAGAAACTGCCTACTGTGATTGTATCTGATCCTTACACCTGTATAGTGGAGCGTGGAGAAACTGCCTACTGTGATTGTATCTGATCCTTACACCTGTATAGTGGAGTGTTGCAAATGTAACAATTCACTCAATTATTACAGCTTCCAGTTCCCTGATAGTTATACAGAATCAATGCTCAATTAAACATTTCCAGACTGACGGGCAAGCAAATATTTCAAGAACAATATCTCAAGACTTTACCCTCAGTGGCGGCATGATGAGATTATTTGTTAACTAGACATGGGTCCAATTAGTCAAAGATTATCAGCTTGTGGAAGTTGAGCATTTAAATGCAGTTCATCAAACACACATTTTCTTCTGTTTTATTTAATTGAAAAAACTTCTGGACAATGTTGATAGGACTAGTTTGGTTTTCAGTGGGTCTGGTGCTTCCTAAAAGCCCTGTGATCTGGTATAAACCTTTATCATACACTGACAAGAAACAGTTCCTTTCACTGCAGGTCTGAAATGACTCTTGAAGGAAGACTCTCCGTGTAACAGTAAATTGTTCTGACAGAAGTATAGCCCACACAGTGACTGGCTAGACAGACTTACCCGAGTGTCCGTGGCAGACATGTCAACTGATTGGACTGCACGAAGTATAGCCCACACAGTGACTGGCTAGACAGACTTACCCGAGTGTCCGTGGCAGACATGTCAACTGATTGGACTGCACGAAGTATAGCCCACACAGTGACTGGCTAGACAGACTTACCCGAGTGTCCGTGGCAGACATGTCAACTGATTGGACTGCACGATGAGTCGCTGGAGATCACGCAGGTTACCTGGAACGTGAAAGGTCAACCTCAGAACACGATGCTCCTCTACTAACATACAGTATTGATACTGTCAGCGCTACAGGCTGATCTATGCTAACAAAACAATATCTATCTAAACAGACTTTGGTCCTTAGAAAATGTAGGGTTCAGATTTTCAGAAAAACAGTGTATACTGTGCTCAAACTGCATGAAATACTGAAGAGATACCTATTTCACATAGAGGCGGTGGGGTAGCCTGGGGGATAAGGCGTTTGCCAGTGATGCAGTAGACCCGGGTTCGATTCCCCACATGGGTGCAAAGTGTGAAGCCCTTTTCTGGCGTTCCCCGGTTTGACATTGCTGGAATATTGCTAAAACCATGCTCACTCACTCACTGAACTTCACATACACTTCTCACACCAGAATTTATGGAGATCGTGTCTTAGTCTCAAATGTGTGTGGTTATTTAGATTCAAAGTATGTACACATTCCATTATTTGGTAGGTTATATTTTGTTTACGCCTGACACACCAAAGCCCACACACATCCCAGCATTAGGACCGCACGGAATTACCGGTATATCGCAACGCACCTTTCAAACGATACGTATTGCAATTATTTTCTCAGAGCCAGTATATTGGGTAATAAAAATTGATGTTTTGTGAACATATCGATGATTTCAGTTAAAATCTATACAAACTTTCATTCAGATCAAAGTTTTCCATTGTTATTGATTGACAAAACAGCATACTTAATACACAAAATATTTTATAAAAAAAGAATATACAATCCCTAAGGTTTAAATCTAATTTCAAGATTTCTGTTATCTCAACCGTAACATATATTTTATGGCTCTGATGTACAATCATTGTCACTCACTGTCAAACACTGAAGCTCCCAATATATCGCAATACATATCGCAATACGGCTACCTGAATTGCAATATATTGCAATACAATTTATTTGCCAATACACAGCCCTACCCAGCATACATACAAACCTTACCCAACCGACTTACCCACCACACCCTCACTAACATCCCATCCTAACACATCACCCAACACCGACTTACCCACCACACCCTCACTAACATCCCACCCTAATATATCACCCCGCATCATTTACCCACCACACCCTCACTAACATCCCATCCTAACACATCACCCACACCGACTTACCCACCACACCCTCACTAACATCCCATCCTAACACATCACCCCACACCGACTTACCCACCAGACCCTGACTAACATGCCACCCTCTAACCCAACCCACACTCAACCAACCCACCCCGACTCAACATCCCATCCCCCCATACCAACAAAACTCACCCACCCAACCAGACTCACCAATTTCAGGAGGTAGCTGCTCCAGTCTGTTCTCCTCAAGGTCCAACACTCGTAGCTTTTGCAGGTTTCCAATGGCTGATGTTAACCTCTGGCGATTGAAAATACGTCAATACTGTAAACTACCGCTTTGCAACATTCACTGAAGTCAGTGTCAACAGGGTGAGACACCTACCGACAGAGTAACAAGGTGAGACACCTACCGACATAGTAACAAGGTTGGACACCTACCGACATAGTAACAAAGTAAGACACCTACCGACAGAGTCTTCGACACAGGGTGGGACAGCTACCCACCGACATGGTAACAGGGTGGGAAGCTACTCACAGACATGGTAACAGGGTGGGACAGCTACTCTAAGACATGGTAACAGGGTGGAATCTACCCTAACACATGGTTACAGGATGGACATGAGACACCTACCCATAGTAACAAAGTGGGACACCTACCAACATAGTAACAAGGTGAGACATGGTAACAGGGTGTGAGACACCTACCGACAAAGGACACCTACCGACAGAGTCAGGGTGGGACAGCTACCCACCGACATGGTAACAGGGTGGGAAGCTACTCACAGACATGGTAACAGGGTGGGACAGCTACTCTAAGACATGGTAACAGGGTGGAATCTACCCTAACACATGGTTACAGGATGGAATCTACCCTAAGACATGGTAACAGGGTGGGACACCTACCCTCAGACAGTTGTTGCTGAGGATGAGGACCTCAAGCTTCTGGAGGTTCTGGATGTCGTCAGGGATCTTGGACAGCTGGTTGGTTCCCAAGTTCAACTCGACCATGTTCGTCCATGTTCCAAGGTCTACAATGGAAGTAACTCATAGCTATATCCAGGGACTCTGTAAGGTTCTTTAGCAATATAATATGTCAATGCAGGACAGTACACATGACTCCGCCATGCACCGGATTAAACAGTGCCGATTACTGTATAAACACAGCTCTCTTCGTGCCGAGATCCGGAATTGACAGCCGCGGAGTGCAGAGTTTTTAAATGATGATAAATATACTAGCCACTTACAGGACTGAGATTTTATGCTGGTGTTGACAACTTGCCGGATTGGACAGCTGCCGGTTTTGACAGCTTCCACAGTATCTTTTAAGTGGCAAATCTTGCCCATTATCAGTGACACCACTCACACTCACAGAGTAAAACCAAAAACATTTCCAAGGGAGTTTTGACAATTATTAGGTCAGATTTAATGCCATGTTGGGAATTATTTTCAACTTTGTTGTAGTTGAGGACATGGTGTCCCTTAACTGCTTGGATCACTGATAAAGTTGCATGAATCAATGTACGCACCAATTGTCATATGGACTCCTTGCCCAACAGCGAGGCTGGGCAAACAAGGCTGGACAAGCCAGGCTTAAGACAGACAAATACTTAGATAATACTTGGCTTATAAAAGATGGGCCCCAATCAGTCAGGTCCGGCCAAGACAGGTGTCAGTTAGGGTTAGACAGGATTGGTTTGACAAGATAGAGGGAAAGACAAGACAGCTAGATATACGATAGGGTTAGACAGTCGTCGAAGACTTACCTAGTGGGAGAGATGTGAGTTGATTGTCTTTCATGTTCAGCTTGGTCAGTGAAGTGGCGCGGGAGAAGATGCCGAACTGAATCTTGTTTATCTGGTTGTGCTCCATGTTGATTGCCTAAAAACAAACATCTTACTGTTAGGTCATCTCTGTAGATGTGACACTCTGTAATGTGGACTACACTCTGTAATGTGGACTACACCCTGCACTGACGACACCCTGCACTGACGACACCCTGCACTGAGGACGACACCCTGCACTGAGGACGACACCACCCTGCACTGGCGCCACCACCCTGCACTGACGACACCCTGCACTGATGACACCCTGCACTGGTGACAACACCCTGCACTGGCAGCGACACCCTGCACTGGCGATGACACCCTGCACTGGCGATGACACCCTGCACTGGCGACAACACCCTGCACTGGCTGACTTACACCCTGCACTGGTGACAACACCCTGCACTGGCGACACCACCCTGCACTGGACGACGACACCCTGCACTGGCGGCACTTACACCCTGCACTGGCGGCGACGACACTCTGCACTGGCGACGTTGACACCCTGCACCGGTGACGACACCCTGCACTGGCGACAACACCCTGCACTGACGACGACACCCTGCACTGGCGACAACACCCTGCAGTGACGACGACACCCTGCACTGGCGACAACACCCTGCACTGTCACCCTGCATGATTTCACTCCTCTCAACAGAAGGGTTACAAAAAACATAACGCAAACCATAGAAGTAAGTGGAAAATGTGTGGTTTTGTGTCACCTAAAATAACAGCTATGTTAACTCACATAAACTGAACAGAACTGTGACGGCCCCCCTGATGGGTATGACTGGAACGCATTTCTGGACAGCGTGATGCTCGTCAGGTTTGTCAGACTAGACAGCAACCCTTCCTGTAACAGAAAGATTCATTGTTAAGCTTGCAAATTGGTTCTTAACAAATATATGTACATAAACCCCCATGTACCTACAGACACATTACTACTACAAGTATGCCACAATGGCACAACTGATGTGGAATACAGCAAATACTGGTTTATAATGCTTGTTCATGAAAGCAAATCATCTAAGGGAGATAATCCCAAGTTGCCTCCCTTTGACCATGCACAGGTCTACAGCAGTACACAGATTAAGCAGTTGATTTCAAGAGATAATAGTGTGTACTTCCTCAAGCCACTACAATATACAAGGTAGCAACTCTAAAGTAGCCCATCAAGCATGAACAACCAAATGATGAGGACTAATGCAATGCACACTAACCCAACACAACCCACACAAAGGAAGCCCTATTCCAGACAGCTACAGCTAAGTGCTGAGGCAGTATTAATACTGCACTATTGCCGTATTAAGGTGCAGTATAAACAGTACTCACTGGTAAGCTTGATATGTTGTTGCCCTCAACATTGAACTCGTCCATGTGTACACAGTGGGCCAGGGACCGGGGAATAGAGGTCAGCCTGTTGTACCTGAAAAATCATCATCATCATCATCATCATCATCATCATCATCATCATCATAACTCAGCCTTCATCAATATAAGTTTTATTTCCTTCTAGCTTTAAAGCTACCTACATAAGGAAGTTAAATGCATTGAAAACGTTCTAGTGACCTTATCATCATCATCATAACTCAGCCTTCATCAATATAAGTCTTATTTCCTTCTAGCTTTAAAGCTACCTACATAAGGAAGTTAAATGCATTGAAAACGTTCTAGTGACCTTCAATTGATTTCAGGTAATTACAACACCTCAGAGTGTTTGCTTGTTGGAAACATTTGTGTTAGCTCTTCCACCCTATAGCTGTGCAAACAGGCAATGCAAAATATCATCCCACAGAGTTCTTCCTCAGTTCTGCTACAGTAACAAACCTGTTATCCCACAGTAAAGGTTCTCCCTCAGTTATCCCACAGTAACAAACCTGTTATCCTACAGTAAAGGTTCTCCCTCAGTTATCCCACAGTAACAAACCTGTTATCCTACAGTAAAGTTCTCCCTCAGTTATCCCACAGTAACAAACCTGTTATCCTACAGTAAAGGTTCTCCCTCAGTTATCCCACAGTAACAAACCTGTTATCCTACAGTAAAAGTTCTCCCTCAGTTATCCCACAGTAACAAACCTGTTATCCTACAGTAAAGTTCTCCCTCAGTTATCCCACAGTAACAAACCTGTTATCCCACAGTAAAAGTTCTCCCTCAGTTATCCCACAGTAACAAACCTGTTATCCTACAGTAAAAGTTCTTCCTCAGTTATCCCACAACAAACCCTGTTATCCCACAGTAAGTTCTCCCTCAGTTATCCCACAGTAAAAGTTCTCCTTTATCCCACAGTAAACCTGTTATCTTACAGTAAAAGTTCTCCCTCAGTTATCCCACAGTAACAAACCTGTTATCCTACAGTAAAGTTCTCCCTCAGTTATCCAACAGTAACAAACCTGTTATCCTACAGTAAAAGTTCTCCCTCAGTTATCCCACAGTAACAAACCTGTTATCCCACAGTAAAAGTTCTCCCTCCGTTATCCACTGTAACAACCCTGTTATCTCACAGTAAAAGTTCTCCCTCAGTTATCCAACAGTAACAAACCTGTTATCCCACAGTAAAAGTTCTCCCTCAGTTATCCCACAGTAACAAACCTGTTATCCTACAGTAAAAGTTCTTCCTCAGTTATCCCACAGTAACAAACCTGTTATCCTACAGTAAAAGTTTTCCCTCGGTTATCCCACTGTAACCCTGTTATCCCACAGTAAAAGTTCTCCCTCAGTTATCCCGCTGTAACAACCCTGTTATCTCACAGTAAAAGGTCTCCCTCAGTTATCACACAGTAAACAACCCTGTTATCCAACAGTAAAAGTTCTCCCTCAGTTATCCCACAGTAACAAACCTGTTATCCTACAGTAAAAGTTCTCCCTCAGTTATCACACAGTAACAAACCTGTTATCTTACAGTAAAGGTTCTCCCTCAGTTATCGCACAGTAACAAAACTGTTATCCTACAGTAAAAGTTCTCCCTCAGTTATGTCACAGTAACAAACCTGTTATCCCACAGTAAAAGTTATCCCTGTTATCCCACAGTAAACAACCTGTTATCCCACAGTAAAAGTACTCCCTCAGTTATCCCACAGTAACAAACCTGTTATCTTACAGCAAAAAATTCTCCCTCAGTTATGTCACAGTAACAAACCTGTTATCCTACAGTAACAACCCTGTTATCCCACAATAACACCCAACAATTATCATGGAGTCACATCCAACAGTTCAGCCACACTCATATCAGACAGTTAGCCAACAGTCACTTGGAGTAACCCAAGTGTTATCCTGTACCTTAACCCGAGTCGTGTGAGGAGTCGCAGCTTCCCAATCCTCTCCGGGATGTCCAGGAGCTCATTGTGCTGGAGATCCAGGGAGTTCAGATTTGTACAGTGACAAATTTCTGAAAAGACAAAACGTACTAAACTGATATCCACATTCATCTGATACGTAAAAGTATTCAACACAGTATTTACGAAGTGTTTACCCACGAAGTACCAAGCCATCACCTTCAGGACAGTGTTACATACCATGTGCTTCTTGGTCAATTACATGTCTGCCAAGACAAAACAATGGCCATCAGTCTGGCTCTACACCACGAGGGGTCCTAACTAACCATATGGCCATGTCAACAGTCTCACCTTCGGGTAGGTGCTCCAGGTGATTGTGGGAGATGTCGAAGGTCACCAGGTTCTCAAGCTGACCAATCCCTTGAGGCAAGTCTCGAATTCTGTTTTCTCTTAAACTAAACTTGGTTAATTTCTGTAAAACAAATAAACTTGCAATTTCAGGCAACATAACAAAATATTTAAGTGTCTCTTCATATTAAAACAAGAGTCATCAGAAGATGACAAATCCCCCCCAGCCCCCATAAATTTGAAAGAAACAAATCAACTGACAATTACTTAAAGTCCAACTTGATTTTTTTGGACTAGGTCTAAATTGTTTCCATGGAAATCATGAAAAATAAAAATGCCAAAAATCTGCAAATAGCAAAAGGCAAAATACTTCAAGATCTGTTTAATACATCTGTCAAGTCTTGTAGAAAGATATTGAACAGTTTACGAGTTGTGATCCGGAACGAAACCAACCCCTCCCTTTTGAGACTAAGTCCAAATCGTTTCCATGGAAACCAAGAACAAATAAAAATGCCAAAAATCTGCAAATAGCAAAAGGCACCACTTTGGGATCTGCCTCACATATCTGCCAAGTTTGCAGAAAGATATTAAGAATGTTTTTGAGTTGTGCTCCGGAAAGGAAGCCCACCCATCCCTTTTGAGACTAAGTCCGAATCATTTCCATGGAAACCAAGAAAAATAAAAATGCCAAAAATCTGTCAATAGCAAAAGGCAACACTTTAGCTTATGTCTGATATATCTACCAAGTCTTGAAGAAAGATATTGATCGGTTTTCGAGTTGTGCTTTGGAAACGAAGGTCACCCCTCCCTTTTGAAATTAAGTTCAAATCATTTCCATGGAAACCCATCACCGGTAATCTCCAGGGCATATGTTACGATAACTCTCCACTATACCCTGGACCCATCTACGGCTTCGCCCGATGATTTTATTACCTGACCAGTGAGAGGGGCCATCGATATTAGAGGCTGCCAGCCCAGTTGTCACCGAAGTCCTCACTCCTTTACCTTTCCTCGATAATTCCTCTCTGATCTGGTGCAGTAAAGTGTTCTTGCCTGTGCCCGCTTGGCCCAAAATCAACAGATTATGGCCATTGATGGCCCCTCTCACTGCCCTGTCTGTCATAGTTGTTTAGTTGTTTTCCCCATACCCGAGTCCTTTTGAGACAAAGTCTGACTCGAAAAACCCCTTTTTCTATTCAAATTTCTCTTCCCTGTTGATATCCAAATTAGTTATACTTGACAATATAAAATCTCATTCAAAAGCACCTCGCTGCAAACCCACACTTCGCATCAATACAACCTGTATCGAATATGCTTTATGCCCGCAGCAGGCGCCGATTTCTCGAAACAAACTTAAGTCTGAGTTTTGACTTAAGTTAGAGTTTTTACTCAAATTTGAGAAACTGCATTTCCCAGAATGAACTAAAATCGATAGTAAACTCAAACATAGTAGACAGTTTGAGTTTGGTGGATAGATTACTTAAGTTGTTTGGGCTCTTTTATTTAAAAAATGCAGTTGAGTTTAAAATTCAGCTGTTTCAAATCGTCAAACTCAGTTTGAAATTTGAGTAAAAACTTAAGTTTGTTTCGAGAAATCGGGGCCTGTACGGCCTTGTGTCAAGCACCTGTTTAGTTTAATGACATCCCTGGTTAAATAACACTCCTGTTGGTCATACAGCATTGACGGCAAGTCTAGATGGTGTACAACTATCTGGTGGCGTGTTGAGGTCACACAAGTAAACAGTAAACTTGTAGCCTCGAAGACCTTGTGTTGTCAAAGAAGCCCTGGTAAAATGACAGACACAAGTGCTTCCTTACTGTATCTATTCAAAAGAATTACTGTTTGGCTCTGGTTGGAAGTTTTAACAGAAACTTTGGGTTTTGATGGCTCAAGACTGTAACTACTTGGCTAAATTGCCAAGTCAGGTTTGAGGTAAATGTCCAACTCACGGTCAACTGGCTGATCTCTTCATCTACATGCTTGATTCTGTTGTAACGAAGGAAAAGGGTCGTCACTGAGTGCAGCTTGTAGACCACTTTAGGTATCTGCAGAGAAGACACCTCACACTTTAGCACTGTCAAACAGTCTACCTCCTAAACATAGACTTCTTGTTCATAATTCAGCCTTATCAAAAGAAAGAGTAAGTACTTGTTCACAAAGAAGCCAGTTCTGACACTGCTAATCCCATTCTGACACTGCTAATCCCGTTCTGACACTGCTAATCCCATTCTGACACTGCTAATCCTGTTCTCACTCTTCAAATCCTGTTCTCACACTGCCTATCCTGTTCTCATACTGCTAATCCTGTTCTGACACTGCTAATAGCATTCTGACACTGCTAATCCCATTCTGACACTGCTAATCCCATTCTGACACTGCTAATCCCGTTCTGACACTGCTAATCCTGCTCTGACCTGCTAATCCCGTCCTGGCACTGCTAATCGCATTCTGACACTGTTAATCCCGTTCTGGCACTGTTAATCCCCTTCTGACACTGCTTATCCCGTTCTGACACAATTAATCCCGTTCTGGCACTGCTAATCGCATTCTGACACTGCTAATCCTGTTGACACTGCTAATACCGTTCTGGCTCTGCTTATCCCTGTTAATCCTGTTCTGACACTGTTAATCCCGTTCTGGCACTGTTAATCCCGTTCTGGCACTGTTAATCCTGTTCTGGCATTGCTAATCCCGTTCTGACACTGCTAATCCTGTTCTGGTACTGCTAATCCCGTTCTAGCCCTGTTAATCTTGTTCTGACACTGCTATCCTCGTTCTGAAACTGCTATCCTCGTTCTCACACTGCTATTCTGGTTCTGACACTGCTAATCGCATTCTGACACTGCTAATCCCGTTCTAGCCCTGTTAATCTTGTTCTGACACTGCTATCCTCGTTCTGAAACTGCTATCCTCGTTCTGATACTGCTATTCTCGTTCTGACACTGCTAACCGCATTCTGACACTCTTAATCCCGTTCCGACACTGCTAATCCCGTTCTAGCATGCTAATCCGTGTCACTCACCTCTTGCAGTTTATTATGTCTGAGATCCAGGACACGCAGGTCACGAAGGTATTCCAGTGAGTCCGGCAGACTGGTGATGGAATTCTCACTCAAGGCCAATGTCTGGAGGTTTGTTAGATTACCAATCTCTGGCGGAAGCACAGTCAGACGGTTGCCATAGAGATACACCTCAACAAGCTGTGTCAACTGCAAGAGAACAGAAGATTGAAAGATTGGTCCTAAACAAAGATGTTTCTTTCTACAACCTTGAACTTCCTTAACATATTTATGGGATGGTGTTACTGTTTAGTGCCAAAAATCAGTCTTCCTCCACCCGCAAGTGAATGCTGTTTTCAGCATCTGATGATTTAAGTGATCTAAAACCTTTCAAAATATGTGAAATGAGTTCTTCTCTTTCTATATTCTGAAAACCATAAATAGTGTTGTTTGAAATATACACGGCTCCTGAATATGGGTCACCTCAAGGCAGGCATGATTCACTGTATGTATCAGAGCATGCATACACAAACTGTCATACAACAACCAAGAGATACTTACATCTTTAACACTGCTAGGGAGTGCAGAGATCTGAAACAAACAGATTACTATAAACAATGTAATGCAGCTACAGATCTTTTTACGAGCATAGCACATTCGTAACTTATCTCACAACAAGTGTGGTGAAGTCACACCCACCCATCTCACAACAAGCATGGTCAAGTCACACCCATCCATCTCACAAGTGTGGTGAAGTCACACCCACCCATCTCACAACAAGTGTGGTCAAGTCACACCCATCCATCTCACAACAGGCATGGTGAAGTCACACCCACTCATCTCACAAGTGTGGTGAAGTCACACCCACCCATCACAACAAGTGTGGTCAAGTCACACCCACCCATCTCACAGCAAGCATGGTCAAGTCACCCACCCAGCATGGTGAAGTCACACACCCATCTCACATGGTCAAGTCACACCCACCCATCTCTCACAACAAGCATGGTCAAGTCACACCCACCCACTCCATCTCACAGCAAGCATGGTCAAGTCAACAAGCATGGTGAAGTCCACCCATCTCTCTCAACAAGCATGGTGAAGTCACACCCACCCATCTCAACAAGCATGGTCAAGTCACACCCATCCATCTCACAACAGGCATGGTGAACAACAAGCATGGTCAAGTCACACCCACCCATCTCACAACAAGCATGGTCAAGTCACACCCACCCATCTCACAGCAAGCATGGTCAAGTCATCTACAGCATAAGTATGGTCAGAGTCACACCCACTCCATCTCCCATGGTCAGAGTGCCGCACCCCATCTCACAACAAGTGTGGTCAAGTCACACCCACCCATCTCACAACAAGTATGGTCAAGTCACACCCACCCATCTCACAACAACAAGCATGGTCAAGTCACCCACCCATCTCACAACAGGCATGGTCAAGTCACACCCACCCATCTCACAACAAGCATGGTCAAGTCACACCCACCCATCTCACAACAAGCATGGTCAAGTCACACCCACCCATCTCACAACAAGCATGGTCAAGTCACACCCATCCATCTCACAACAAGTGTGGTCAAGTCACACCCACTCATCTCACAACAATCTCACAACAAGCATGGTCAAGTCACACATGGTCAAGTCCACCCATCTCAACAAGCATGGTCAAGTCACACCCACCCATCTCACAACAAGCATGGTCAAGTCACACCCACCCATCTCACAACAAGTATGGTCAAGTCACACCCACCCATCTCACAGCAAGCATGGTCAAGTCACACCCACCCATCTCACAACAAGCATGGTCAAGTCACACCCACCCATCTCACAACAAGCATGGTCAAGTCACACCCACCCATCTCACAACAAGCATGGTCAAGTCACACCCACCCATCTCACAACAAGCATGGTCAAGTCACACCCACCCATCTCACAACAAGCATGGTCAAGTCACACCCACCCATCTCACAACAAGCATGGTCAAGTCACACCCACCCATCTCACAACAAGCATGGTCAAGTCACACCCACCCATCTCACAACAGGCATGGTCAAGTCACACCCACCCATCTCACAACAAGCATGGTGAAGTCACACCCACCCATCTCACAACAAGTCACACCCACCCATCTCACAATGGTCAAGTCACACCCACCCATCTCACATGGTCAAGTGTGGTCAAGTCACACCCATCCATCATGGTCAAGTCACACCCACCCATCTCACAACAAGCATGGTCAAGTCACACCCACCCATCTCACAAGTGTGGTCAAGTCACACCCACCCATCTCACAACAAGCATGGTCAAGTCACACCCACCCATCTCACAACAAGCATGGTGAAGTCACACCCACCCATCTCACAACAAGTATGGTGAAGTCACACAAACCCATCTCACAACAAGTATTGTCACTAATGTGACATAATCCCCCGCCGCAAATTATCAAATCAAACTTAAAAAGTAATGAAAGTGAAGGTCGTAGTTAAAGATGAAGTTAAATGTCAACAAAAACATGACCAGTCAACCTCTCTTGATATCTTGCTCTGTAGTTGTTCAAATGCACAAATATATTCAAGACTCACTTTGACCTTGACATGAATGTCTTAGTGTATGAAATATGCAAAATTAGTAATAAAGAAATTGCTTATTGAAAACATTCAAGGGAAGTCTTGAAAGTCTATGAAGAAAATCCAGACAACCCTTCTTGAGATATCTTGCTGAAAATCTTAACATGCAGTTTAATATGCTGAAATCTTCAAAGTGTCGCCGTGAAGGTTACCAAAATCGACTGGGCCTTGCACCTTCCCTAGATGAAGCTTGGTGTCAAATATGAAGAAAATCCAGTGAGCGGTTCTTGAAATATCTCGCTGACAAGGGTTAAACGTTAAAGTCCCCTTGTGACCTTGAAATGGTGATCTAGTCTGTCCTACATAACCTAAGGGAGACAATCGTAGTGTACTGGTGATCTAGTCTGTCCTACACAACCCAAGGGAGAGAATCTAGTCAATGTCCTGCCCTACACGCCTAAGGGAGACAATCATAGTGTGCTGGTGATCTAGTCTCTCCTACATAACCTAAGGGAGACAATCATAGTGTACTGGTGATCTAGTCTGCCCTACATAACCTAAGGGAGACAATCGTAGTGTACTGGTGATCTAGTCTGTCCTACACAACCTAAGGGAGACAATCGTAGTGTACTGGTGATCTAGTCTGCCCTACATAACCTAAGGGAGACAATCATAGTGTACTGGTGATCTAGTCTGCCCTACATAACCTAAGGGAGACAATCGTAGGGTACTTGTGATCTAGTCTGCCCTACATAACCTAAGGGAGACAATCGTAGGGTACTGGTGATCTAGTCTGCCCTACATAACCTAAGGGAGACAATCATAATCTACTGGTGATCTAGTCTCTCCTACATAACCTAAGGGAGACAATCGTAGTGTACTGGTGATCTAGTCTGCCCTACATAACCTAAGGGAGACAATCGTTGGGTACTGGTGATCTAGTCTCTCCTACATAACCTAAGGGAGACAATCGTAGTGTACTGGTGATCTAGTCTGCCCTACATAACCTAAGGGAGACAATCATAGTGTACTGGTGATCTAGTCTCTCCTACACAACCTAAGGGAGACAATCGTAGGGTACTGGTGATCTAGTCTGTCCTACATAACCTAAGGGAGACAATCATAGTGTACTGGTGATCTAGTCTCTCCTACACAACCTAAGGGAGACAATCGTAGGGTACTGGTGATCTAGTCTGTCCTACATAACCTAAGGGAGACAATCATAGTGTACTGGTGATCTAGTCTCTCCTACACAACCTAAGGGAGACAATCGTAGTGTACTGGTGATCTAGTCTGCCCTACATAACCTAAGGGAGACAATCGTAGTGTACTGGTGATCTAGTCTGCCCTACATAACCTAAGGGAGACAATCGTAGAGTACTGGTGATCTAGTCTGCCCTACATAACCTAAGGGAGACAATCGTAGTGTACTGGTGATCTAGTCTGCCCTACATAACCTAAGGGAGACAATCGTAGTGTACTGGTGATCTAGTCTGCCCTACATAACCTAAGGGAGACAATCGTAGTGTACTGGTGATCTAGTCTGCCCTACATAACCTAAGGGAGACAATCGTGAGTGTACTGGTGATCTAGTCTGCCCTACATAACCTAAGGGAGACAATCGTGAGAGTACTGGTGATCTAGTCTGCCCTACATAACCTAAGGGAGACAATCGTAGTGTACTGGTGATCTAGTCTGCCCTACATAACCTAAGGGAGACAATCGTAGAGTACTTGTGATCTAGTCTGCCCTACATAACCTAAGGGAGACAATCGTAGTGTACTGGTGATCTAGTCTGTCCTACGTAACCTAAGGGAGACAATCGTAGTGTACTGGTGATCTAGTCTCTCCTACATAACCTAAGGAAGATAATCATAAGGTACTGGTGATTTAGTCTGTCCTACGTAACTCAGTCATGGGATAGTTGAGTCCTATCCTGCCCCTTCATCTGACTGATGAACCTTCTGCCCGACTCACCTGAGATTTGCTCAGATCAAGCCTCTTTGCTCCCTCTTCTTTGCACTTCTTGAATTCTTTGGCAATATCCTGAAATATGTGCAATAGTTGCCATCAAAGTTTTTCATTATATGCCCCTCAAGATAAGCATGTCCTAAACAAATTCCTGTTTACGTGATATATATGCCTGCCCATGAATTAGAGATTGGAACAGCCAACACCAAAACTGTGTTTAAGTGCTTCCATGACACCACCCAGAACAACACGAAACATCTGTTAAATATTGCTACCAGGGAAACTACATGGAGCAGGAATTTACCTAGGATGTTAAGTGCCCTTGGCAGACAAACTTGGAACACGTCAAAATTTTGTTCAAAACTAAAATTTATATTCAATGCAAGGTGCAGAGGTACACAATAAGGCCTCTTCATGGTCATTGGTCAAATTATTAGTGAAATCTCACCTCGGCAAAGTAATAACATTAGTTAAACCTATAATATCAATACTTGACAAAAAGTTAGCTCCAATTTGGGAACTTTTAAATTGCTTCAGGATCAAATCCAAACATTGACCTCCATCCATGTCCAGATAAATTCCCCTGGGAAAAAATACACTAAAAAACACCCCACAAACAAAATGTATTCTGTGAAAGGAAGCACTATTTAAAATATGTATACTTTATGCTCTTGACAGTCAACAACCATATGCTGTCTAAATATTCTACCTTTGCTATAATTCTACTGAACTGTTAGATCATTTGAAAACAATTTATCAAGAATTTCAGTTAATGGTCATTTTATCAATGAATTTTATGTTTATTGTTGTAAACCAAGCTTGTCTGTTTGCTGAAGTTATTCTGTTTTTCCTGCGGTTGATGATTTTGATTACTTAAACTGAGGTACCAATAGTCTCAGTATGGTATTAGTAAAAGCTCCCCACCTTGAGAATACTCTATGAATACATCAACTGATTGGCACATAACTGTAACAGCTGCAAGAACTTGTGAACACAGTAACTCACCAGGTCCGCCTTGACCGAGGGGCGTGCTGGGACAGTGGGCTTTGCCTTGTTCTGTCCAGTTATCACCATCACCTGCTTCTTGGGGTTTGCTGGCTCCACCGCTATGGAGCCCTGGCTCCCCTTCTTCTCCTGAAACAGAGATGGTGTCAGAAACAATAGAAGTGGGGTCGGAAATAATTGAGGTGAGGCGAAATAAGCATGCCGTTTCACATACATTTTCACCAATCTTACTGTAAACAGTTTTTAATGAATGAAAATGGGACCAAATTTAATCCAGTGAAATGAAATCTAGGAAGATTGCTTCATCACGTGTTTTCTGACATCATACTTTTTCGGATGGTAGTATTTACGTGTGCTATAATCCAGTGTGTAACATCACAGCAAACATCGTAAGTACTCAAAGTGATGGCATGTCATCACAATAAAGTTGTCTTTCATAAGTTAGTACGATGTTCCCCTGTTCATGCAATTAATCTAAGAAAACCCTGAATGTTTCTACAGCATCTGAAAACCCATAATACAAGGATATGTACAATGAACACTTTATTTATTGTGATCCATGTTGAATTTCACTAGTTTATGTCACAATTAACCAGAGCACAACAGCAGATTTGTTGATATGCTATTTCTGATGACTTTGAAGATGAGTGATCGCTGGTGAGCTTTTTTATGAGAGCCATAGATTATGCCGCAGTTAAACCGAAACCACGGTATCGCAAAGGGTGTTATTGAGAGGAATGACTCTATTGCTTTCATGAGAGAAAAGCTCTAGGGTAATCAGAAACATAATAAAACATGAAACAAATATGCAAAAGGATGCTTCTATGAAAATAAGAATTTAGGCCAACAATTTCCAAACTCAGTCTTGAGCAACTTGATGTAAGTTCAGTAGTTTCTGCCCTGATCAGACAACAGCACTGAGTAAAACAACATTGATCAAGGGCCATACATACTGTATGCTCAAACTTTAAAACCCTGCATCTCCGGAAGTAACCTACATTAGGTCATGAGCAGTAATATCAGAGTATTCAGTTTCTAATATAACTAGGTTTTAAGAAAACATATCCCAATTGCATGTAAAATATGCACTTAAATGACATCAAGAGATAACACTTGAAACATACTGAAGAATTACTACGACCTATGTGGGACCAAACTTGAGTATGCTATGGAATATACCGCAAATATAGGGCACATTGGATATACTGAAGTATTACAACGACCTACATCACTGTATATCAATGTTTAGTATATGGGAACAAACATCAAGAGAGGACGCTATGGAATATATCGCAAGTATAGGACACATTGGATATACTGTAAATATTACTACAACCTATATCACTGTATATGGGAACAAACATCAAGAGAGGACGCTATGGAATATATCGCAAGTATAGGACACATTGGATATACTGTAAGTATTACTACGACCTACATCACTGTATATCAATGTTTAGTATATGGGAACAAACATCAAGAGAGGACACTATGGAATATATCCCTTATGGAAAGTATAGGACAAATTGGATATACTGTAGTGAGTGAGTATAAATTTACACTGCTTTCAGCAATATTCCAGCAACATCACGACAGGGGGAAACCAGAAATGGGCTTCACACATTGTACCCATGTTGGGAATCTAACCCAGGCCTTTGGCTTGAGGAGCGAACGCTTTAACCACTAGGCTACCCCACCGCCCGGGATATACTGTAAGTATTACTATGACCTATATCACTGTATATGGGACCAAACATCAAGAGAGGACGCTATGGAATATATCGCAAGTTTAGGACAAATGGGATATACCGTTAGTATAAGTATGACCTACATGGGACATCAAGAGAGGGCGCTATGGTATATATCGAAAGTATAGGACATATTGGATATACTGTTAGTATTACTATGACCAACATGGGACATCAAGAGAGGGCGCTATGGTATATATCGCAAGTTTAGGACATATTGGATATACTGTTAGTATTACTATGACCTACATGGGACATCAAGAGAGGGCGCTATGGTATATATCGCAAGTATAGGACATATTGGATATACTGTTAGTATTACTATGACCTACATGGGACATCAAGAGAGGGCGCTATGGTATATATCGCAAGTTTAGGACATATTGGATATACTGTTAGTATTACTATGACCTACATGGGACATCAAGAGAGGACACTATGGTATATATCGCAAATATAGGACATATTGGATATACTGTTAGTATTACTATGACCTACATGGGACATCAAGAGAGGGCGCTATGGTATATATCGCAAGTTTAGGACATATTGGATATACTGTTAGTATTACTATGACCTACATGGGACATCAAGAGAGGGCGCTATGTGTATATATCGCAAGTTTAGGACATATTGGATATACTGTTAGTATTACTATGACCTACATGGGACATCAAGAGAGGACACTATGGTATATATTGCAAATATAGGACATATTGGATATACTGTTAGTATTACTATGACCTACATGGGACATCAAGAGAGGGCGTTATGGTATATATCGCAAGTTTAGGACATATTGGATATACTGGTAGTATTACTATGACCTACATGGGACATCAAGAGAGGACACTATGGTATATATCGCAAATATAGGACATATTGGATATACTGTTAGCATTACTATGTCCTACATGGGAGGACAGATAGGATATATAGGGTACAAAAATTTCTGTCAACAATGGTCTTCTGTACCAAAATGCTTTGCATATTATTCTTTAAAATAAATTATCTTATTAAATTTTGCAACTAAAATAACATGGCAATACTGGAATATATTACTTAAAACCAGTGGATTATGATATAATTTTTCCAATCACTGCCACAAATTTATATTGGGAATGTTTTCACTGAATCATCAATATCACTGGTGCATTGGTGGAAACACATGCACAGCTGGGTCCCGTTTCGCAAAGCTCTCGTAAGCCTAAGATCTCGTAACTTTTCTCGTAGCTTTCACACTTCCTATCTTAGGCTTACGAGATCTTTGTGAAACGGGCCCTGATTGCTATTTCTGGCTTACTTTACCGGACAATACACATGGTAATCTTAAAATCTGCATATAAAACAATGCCTAGCAGAACAAGTGGGTGAGTGACTTTCGGTTTACGCCACTTTTAGCAATATTCCAGCAATATCACAGCAGGGGAAACCAGAAATGGGCTTCATACATTGTACCCATGTGGGGATTCGAACCCGGGTCTTCAGCGTGATGAGCGAACGCTTTAATCACTAGGCTACCCCACCGCCCCCCTAGCAGAGCAAAAGATATACCATCAATGGCAAATCATTATGTGATGTTTTATCTCTAATATCAAATGTTTATTGACAGTTCCTTTATACGTGTTAGTTGACATTCGCTGAAGGGATACGATGTATTTTTTTTTTTTGTGGCACATCATACTCAAAATTCATTTTTTCCTCACCACGAAACCCCCTAGATGGGGGTAAATGTTATATACATGGGTGTGCACTTTAAACAAGAAACTGGAACTCAGACAAGTGAGGACAGATGGGATACACCTGCTCGTCATATACCACTGCTATTCAAATATTCTTTCTTAAAACCCACCATGCAGAAAGTTTCATACACAAAATAGTTTGTTTAAAATCAGTCATCCAATGATGCCATACTAAGCTATGCACAAAACATGGAGATCATTAAAGCATCAGCCCTATCTAACATTGGAGTAGAGTATACATACAAAACCACATAAGATCATATTGTTTTCTTTTCTCCTTAGTCCTCCATTGCCATCCTACACAAAAATATAAAAACTGTATACATGAATTTCTAACTTTACCGGCCTAACACTGCTAAACCTGACATTGTTGTAAACTTGGAGCCTGTATTTTCAGAAACTTCAGGTCATAATCACAGAAGAGCATTTTGTTACAGCTTATCTTTTAGTTATAGTAAGCAATGGACACCAACTTTTACTGACTTGAGATCAGTAATATAAGTGGAATCACACACCCAAACACCAACTGACACGGGCCACATAATGTTACACAAACACCAACTGCTCAGACACCAACCCTCTCCCCACCTGCATAGATAAAACACACTCACACAACCTGCATAGTCAACCCACTAACACAACCTGCATAGTCAACCCACTAACACAACCTGCATAGTCAACCCACTCACACACAACCTGCAGTCAACCCACTCACACACAACCTGCATAGTCAACCCACTCACACACAACCTGCATAGTCAACCCACTCACAACCTGCACAGTCTACCCAATCACACAACCTGCAGTCAACCCACTCACACAACCTGCACAGTCAACCCACTCACACAAGCTGCAGTCAACCCACTCACACAACCTGCACAGTCAACCCACTCACACACAACCTGCATAGTCAACCCACTCACACAACCTATAGTCAACACTCACACAACCTGCAGTCAACACACTCACACAACCTGCATAGTCAACCCACTCACACAACCTGCACATACAACACACTCACACAACCTGCATAGTCAACCCACTCACACAACCTGCACATACAACACTCAACCTGCATAAACACACTCACACACAACCTGCATAGTCAACCCACTCACACAACCTGCACATACAACACACTCACACACAACCTGCATAGTCAACCCACTCACACAACAACACCTCAACCTGCACATACAACACTCACACACAACCTGCATAAACACACTCACACACAACCTGCATAGTCAACCCACTCACACAACCTGCATAGTCAACACTCAACCTTCATAAACACACACACACACAACCTGCATAGTCAACCCACTCACACAACCTGCATAGTCAACCCACTCACACAACCTTCATAGTCAACCCACTCACACAATCTGCATAGTCAACCCACTCACAAAAACCTGCAAAGTCAAAACACAATAACGCACGCACGCACGGACACACACAGCAAGTGAGTTTAGTTTTACACTGTTTTAGCAATTCCAGCAAATTCATGGTGGGGGAAACCAGAAATAGGCTTCACACAATGTAACCATGTGGTGCATCGAACCCAGGTCTTCAGTATGACTAATGAACGCTTTAACCATTAGGCTACCCCATCGCTCTCCCACTCACACTGCTTGCTGAGACAACATATTCACACACAACCAGCATAGACAACCCACTCACACTGCTTGCTAAGACAACATATTCACACACAACCTGCATAGACAACCTACTCACACACAGCTGGCACAGACAACATATTCACACACAACCCACTAGTACAACCAGTAGAGACAACCCAGTCATACACAAACTCTGTTAATAAATGTGAAACTTGGGACTGAACATCACCAGACATGATCATTTACCATTTCAGCTGTATTTCCTGTTATGCTAGGCAGTGTTTTATCCATACAAATACTGTAAATCGACAAAGTTCTCCGTCATCAATCTTTTGCGTGATCAACAACCCAGCCAGTTCTGCGTCTTGTTTGTTTTGCGAGTCCTCCTCTTGTAAAAACAAGTCGAATTGTTGACAATACATCATATTGCTTCGCGTGAACGAACATACAAGAAAAGACCAAAGACGTCAAATTTGCAATTAAACATCGCTAGAAAAGATTATTTACCTATTCAGTTCTAATTTGTTTTTGCTAGGCAATGTCTTGTATGCAGGGATTAAGATTACTGTGTGTAATTGTCTCGTATACAGCGCCAGAAATAGCAATCAGCTGTGCAGTGCACACGTTCCCCTACTGGTGATTTAGTTAAAACGTACCCGATAATATTCCAACATGAATTCTGATGATCTTAAAAAAGATAGTATCTCTAACTATTGTTTTTATAAAGAGAAATATATTCTAGTATTGTGTCATTTTCATCGCAGGTTGTGCTCTATAAATGTAAAATATTTATAACCATAACTAAGGTTATGCGACAGTTTTTTAGTGAATTGCTGGCTAGTTTTTATACATGGAACAATTTAACCTGTCACCGATGAGGTTTCGCGCGATCTCGCTATTTCCACCGCGAAAGCAGTTTGTTGACATGTGATCGTCCAGCTACACTAATTATGACTTTTGGCGAAACAGAATATGTATGCGTATCCATTTACTGTCAACTATACTTCATTTCGAGAAGTGAGTAGACGCAATATGTTAGTGATTTTTGTGAAGTAAGTACATTGTATTGTGGAATTACCGGTAGGCGAACATCTGGACTTCTTGACATGGTCTGATCACGTTCTTTACATGGACCAGGAATAATTGCTTATCAAGATCATTCGCAATACTAGCAAAACTTTCCTGCCTGCAAACTTTGTCGATTTACAGTAGTCATTACCATGTGCATTTGCACCATAAATTAAGATGGAGACAGCTATCAGCTGTGTATGTTTTCCCAATCTACCAGTGGTTTAGTTAACATCCAGTTATGTAACTTCAAAGAAATCTTATGCAATGATCAGAAGAAATAGTATCCGAGACAATTGTTTTACCAGGCATAATATAGTATCTTAATATAGTGTTTGTTTTAATACAGCTTTTCTTCAAATTTGTAATAATTACATATGTACTACCTTGACAGGTGTCTCGATACACTTTGTAAATGACATAGTTTGATGAGTCACCATTGGACTTCCCACAGTAAATGCCACTTTGATTGTGAAAAACAAAATGTTGACACATAATTGTCAACTACAACAAACATCACCTTAACAAGTCAAAGTATGACACTGATGACATATGTATCCACTCTGATAAGTAAGAGTCTCTATAATACAGAAATCAGATCATGACTGCTGTGAATAATAATGTGGTAAACAAAGATGACTCCTTTAGAACTGGGTAAGCAGAAGCTGCAAGCATATCGGGGGAATGAGGTGAAGTGAGTATGCTTAACATGTTTAACACAATCTCAACAAAGTTGAGAAAAAAGGAACTCAGTTTATTAAAGAAATCTCAAACATAATTCACAAGTCAAGATATTCTGAACACTATTCCATCATCAATATTGCTGACTGACTGACTGAGTTTGGTCTTGCGCCGCTTTTAGCAATATTCCAGCAACATCACGGCGGGGGACACCAGAAATGGGCTTCACACATTGTACCCATGTGGGGATTCGAACCCGGGTCTTCGGCGTGACGAGCCAACGCTTTAACCACTAGGCTACCCCGCCGCCCCTCATCAATATTAAGTTACACACATTCAGTACTGATTTGTTGATATAGTATTTCCAACGTAAAGATGCACGATTATGGGGGAAATATCATTTTATTTACAGGAGCTACTGATTACCCTGCACTTTAATTAATCAACGGTATCACAGAGGGAGTTCTTGCGAGGGATGAATACAAGGAAATATAATATGTACCCTAAGGAGATATTACTTCTCTTTTAAATAACACCGAAATAAGACGGATTATACCTAATAAACAAACAGTGATATTTTCTCTCACAGAAACTGGATAAATAACAACTAACGACAGTGAATATCGCCAAATCAGTGGTGTGCTTGCTCCCTGATCACAATTACATGTATGACCAATACACGAAAAACCCTGACAGAATTACCTTGGGAATTTCTTTGGCTTGATATTGTTCCCTGATGGAAACATTGTCCATTGATGCAACTACATCATCACAGCCGTCATGGCCATACTGTGCTTGGCGGTGACTTTCCAAATCTGGTGAATCGGAGCCAGTTCCATGAGTAGACATGATGGGGATCACACTCTCCCCTCTGTAGTCAGCTAGTCGTTCTGCTGCAACTGAGTTATCTTGGGCCTTGTTGGTTTTCCGAGACATTTGCACAAACTGATAGTGTTCACTTCATTTAAAACTGGCATGTGATTTGACAGTATTTAGTCAGGAACAACTGGTCCACCTACTTAAGGTATTATCTCCTGTTTCAGGGGCTGGTCTTTGGTTGAAGCTCTGTTATGACAGATCACTGTGTGATACCTGTCAGAGTTACATAATGATCAATATTTTCAAAGTGTTGAATTGTCTCAAATCCGAGCAGTTGTTCTGGAGACAAGTGTCGGCATAAGGGCTGTCATGCTCTAGGCTGACTTCAGGACATATTTCAAGCCTGCATGTAACATTTGACAATATTACTAATTGGTCTATTTCCTTTGATGTTCTTTGTAATCTTCATAAGTTCAAATGGATGAAGATTTTACGAGTTCTTAAAAGTCCCCATATCGTAATGTTTGAGAGACTGTTTTGCCAATGTTCTTCTCAGACGGTGTGGAGTCAAGTCGCGGTGACACCATTTAGCTCATCGACACCTGCACAGAAAGAAATAACATTAGCGATCGCGTGCACTCTCGCATGAGGCCAAGCACCTGACAAAAGGGAAGATCAGATTTCAAAGAAACGAATGTCATACCTCAATCGTGGAAAAGAAACTGCACATAGGCAAAGCGCTGACTGAAATCTCACCCTACACACAAAATATTGCCGACTTCACAGTACCTTCTGAACGATGCGCATATTATTGCGCAGAAGTAATACTAGAGCGGAAGTTACGTCAATGATTCAGGGTCAGGGAAGGTTTAAACCCTTCATTATCTTACATATCTTACGACTTTATAATAATAAATGATTAACTTAGCTTGCATCCTGCCGAAGACTTGCCTCGTGTGAATTATTATGCAGATTTGTTTTCTTTTATCGAAGCAATCAAATGTACATCCACGTGATATCTATAATATACAATATGTACCCCTTTCAGAAGCTCGATCATGACCACTGTCTGAGAGAAAAGTGTTTTATCTAACACATACTGAAAAATAAACGTTTTCAAAATAGACATTATTTTGCAGATGAGCCTGTACATCGCTCGATCATTAGCTTTACTTTGTTTCATCAAACTTGATTGTCAAACGAATAATGTACAATCGGCATGACGTCATAATATCCTAATGTAGTTGTACAATATGACGTCACAAGAATACGACGAGCACCTGTTCGTTCACAGGACCTTTCAGCCTTGAACCTATTTTTCAGTATAATTTCTTCCACCAAGCACCACAAACATTTTAGTATTATATACGAACAGATGCGTTAATGAATCAAATTGTTATTCCGAAGCTGTTATTAATCATAGCAATTATGAAGCATTATTATTTAATAGGGGTGTGACGATACTGTGAGACCGCGATACGACATCTATCCAGATAATACAGGTGTGATACTATTTACAGTAAGTCTATTTCATGAGTTCGCATTCTCTACCCTATTATAATTACTACCTCTATCACTTGTTTTTAAATTTTAGACGGCGGATTGGATGTTATATGAGAGAAACACATAAGCTTGGGGGCAGGGCAGATTCTACAAGTTACAGCTGAATAGAAAATAACTTCTTTGAGATCCATTTAGAAATTGAGTTTAAGAATATATGGATGAACAGCTTCTTCATTAAGGTTATACAGAATTTGTTTATCCATATATTGTTATCCTTCCAAACAGAAAATACCAATTAATCTGCATCAACTGGCTTCTGATGAAGGTTTGGTATTAATTTCTATTCACAGGCTTTTACTAATTATATTGTTCCAACGACACCTCGTCAACAATCGAAGAAGAAAAAGAAGAGTGAGTGAGTTGGATTTTACGCCGCATTTAGCAATATTCCAGCAATATTACGGCGGGGGAACACACGCATTGTACCCATGTGGGGAATCGAACCCGGGCCTTCCGCGTGACGAGCGACTGCTTTAACCACTAGGCTACACCACCGCCCCAGAAGGACAACAGCCAGAATGGCGAGCAGAAAATAACCTTGACTTAGCAAAACCGACGCCGTATCCCGATTCGTTTATATGTGTAAATAGAGATGGTTTAACTTTTATACACAAATTAACTACAATGGTTTGAAAGAATTAATTGTATTTTGAATATCACATTATCATGACTGCGGTTATAATTGAAAAAAAAAACACATTCTAAAAACAAAACAAATTTGAGCGCTCACTATCCCCTCCTCTGTGTGTGTGTTGGACAACATAATCGTGTTATAATGTATTAACATGCACATGTATCTGTTTTGTGTAAACACTGTACAGCAGACCAACGTTTGAGAAACAATTCCATTTAAGTTGAAAACAAGCCCGAGTGATGTGGGAGTTTCAGGGGGAAGCTTCCTATAGGGCTTTTGCAGTACAAACAGGAGAGTCAGGAATCGGAAATAATATTGTTCAAGGACTATGTGAGACAGACTGTGTGAACAGTTGAAATTATAAGAAGCGATGTTTGTTTTCATCTCTCAGCGGTTCTGTCCCTTAGTTACCATTTATAGGTGGCGCAGTCTAACCTACTTCCTTTTCCGGCATTCGGCCATCAACACAGGGTCGCAGACATGTATGTGAAATTTAATCGAATAATATCAGAATACCAACACCACATCCAATGTTAAAATGAAGTCATCTGATTGCACGATATCACAGCAGGGTTATGTTTGAATTCATTAAAATATATTAATGGAATTGTTTGCATAAAACACCAATGAATTCCCACATGCTGTGCCCTCACTGAAAGTCCCATATATTTTTGGCATTTGAGATTCGACGTGATTATCGCTTCTCTTTGTCAGGATTCAAGGTTTACACATACTCTAAGTAGTAAGGAAAGCGTTTTTCAACATCCTACAGTCTTGTCATTATTTTAGATAGCAAGTTAATTTATTTGTTTACCTGGAAAGCTAGGATAGCCAAGCCTCTGCGCTTAAAGATTTATCAGTTTAAACTATTGTTGTGGTCAGTATTCGACCAGCTTCTCACCATTCAAGTTGTTATGAATAAGGATGCTGACGTTTCATAATTTTCAGTCAGTATGTTAGACCAGATTAACTTGTTATTTACTGTTTATTGGCATATATCTAACAGCACAGGGTAGTAGTATATGTTCATTTTTACATTATGTGATCAGTCTTCCAAAGTACTAGGGATGTCACGATACATATCACGATACCCATACCCATGTTATGATTCCATACGTATAACGATACCTATTTTCGCGTCATTATTGCGTAAATTTAGTTACATTTTGAACATTAATATTTCATATTTTATAATTGTCCATGAAAAGATCAACATTTTTTATTCTCGGATATTATCATTGAAAAATAATCATTTATAACTCTCATAACATAAAAAAACATGATACAATTGCAAAATGTAAACGAGACGTGAACATATTTAAACCGATACTTTCAAAACTAAATATCGATACAGTATTGAATGTATTGATAATTGTATCGTCTTAGAAAAAGTATTGATGTATGGTGACATCCCTAGAAGGTACCAAAACAAATTCTGTAAAACTCTTTTAAAACGGTAATGATTTAACATAATTCCAGTATTGCTTTCACGACAACTGACAGGTCGACAACATGTCTTTTTTCCCCCAAACATTATTTTTAAGCATTCTGATCTTGCCATAGTTCAGATGCCAGAGCTTGCTATGATAGGAATATTGCTGGCAAATATTTGAAATTAATCATGTTGGGCTATTTATCATCATCACATCTCAGATGTTTAAAAGTTCCTGAGATTTAAATACTGTAGCAGAAATCATCAAGGTTCCCAGATCTAATTTTGAACGCTGCTGACAGTGGTAAATAACAATCTTTCAAGATATGTAATTGTTGTTCTCTTTGCTTGATGTGCCTTTCAAATACCAAATGCTAGTACAAAATGGACCACAGTAAATCATGTTTTGCTGTCTTTACTAAATATGAGCCGAGTATATTTGTTTCCATTTATCTGTGTTGGGGCTGTGGGGTAGCCTAGTGGTTAAAGGGTTCGCTCGTCACGCCGAAGACCCGGGTTCGATTCCCCACATGGGTACAAATGTGTTAAGCCAATTTCTGTTCTGGAATATTGTTAAAAGAGGCGTAAAACCAAACTCGCTCACTCCATTTATGTATTGCCTATCTTCAGAAGAAGCAATTAGCAACTGTATATAGTACGCTGACTAGGCACCAACAAATTTGTTTGTGATTCTGACACAATTAATATGTATTGATTATAAATAACAAGGAATAACGATTTCAGATTACTTTTATTGTTTGAGCTTTCTTTGAAATTCGTTTTTATCTTAATATCTCGTGAAAACTGATAGTGTGGATGGACATCAAACATCCAGATGACCATGTTCCCCACCCTTAACCTGTTACATCACTAAACTTTAATCAAGTTGTTACCTTGGTAGTGATGCAGACACATGATTAATATTTTATGTTTGTTTTCCATCTAGAAAAGAAAGATGGCGATCCGACCCCTAGTTAAGCACAAGGTTCCTCGAAAGAGGAACAAGAAGTTCATCCGTCATCAGTCCGAGCGGTACATGAGAGTCAAGGTGAGCAATATCACAATGGTGTGGAATGCGAGCTCCTTAATTAGGCAACAACAACAAAAAATGTGTAGGTAGGGTTATCTTCTTTTTTTCTTACATTTTGTTTTTAAATGCACTTGCATATTTTTCATAAAATCACATATTTATGTAATATCAGGCACCGGTTTTGAAAGAAAAAAGGAGAAACCAGTTTAAAATTTTAATAACTGAAGCATCAACACTTTCTAAATTTCAAATTTATGACAAACAAGAGTAAGTGAGCACAGGTCACATACAGTCGCCCCCAACAGTACATACTGTTGGAATAGCAAAATGTTTCGCTGTCTTTTAGAATACCGAAAAAAAAGTTGAGGGTTGGGAAGTTTGTGATGGGTCGGTCGGGAAACCGTAAACACACATATAAATTATTGGCCTTACGGACTTTTAACTGAGCGTCTTTTATGTTAAAACAGTATATACATTTGGATTAAACTCAACAGTCACACCTACTGACCTGTTAAATGTGATTGTTAACTTTCAATTTATGCCTGAGTGATGTCAACTTAGATTGAACTCACACAGGCATTGGAAATTATCAGAGAAAAGTTTCAGATGCAGAAGTAAGATGAAGTTTGCTGTAGCTGTCAGTGCTTGTGCAATGTAAAGTGTAAAGTAAGGATTTTTGTTTCAAAAATTGGCACTCGAAGACAAGAACTACCATAACTGTAGATGTTACTATGCCAAATGAGGTGAATAAAAAATGAGAACGTATAACCTGCTAACTATTTGGTCTCATCATGGTAGAAGGCTTGTTGAATCTAGCTAACTATTTGGGCTCATCATGGTAGAAGGCTTGTTGAATGCAGCTAACAGTAGCAGCAAGACACTTACATTGTCAGAATTCCTAATTCTGTTTCCTTTTCATGCTTCCACTGTCAGTACTGTATCTATCGTTTTCTATTGAGTCACACGAGTTTGAAATTACAATCACTTTGAGCTTTCCACCAACATCAGCTGTTAGCTGTGATAGATATCAGAAATAGAATATCAGGAAATCAAAGCCACTTGCTCACTCACTTAGAAGATGTTACACAACTGTGACACACATTCTTTGTGTGAATGAGCGCCTTTATAGTGATGAGGAATGTCAGTCAG